CAGAGACAAAGACGAATGTTGATGCATGACGACGGACGCCGGAGCATCCACCTTTATTGCGGTTAATGCTTCCGAGGAATCACTTTGTTTCCAGATTTTGATACTAGTAGCTCATCCTGAACTTTCGGTTCTAGTGAAGTAAAAAAATATTTAGATTAGTGACATCTATTTTTACAAAGTCGCTTTAATTACTATTTCAGTGTATTACTAATTTAATTGCCTGATCTTTGAAATCCAAACATTGAATATTTTCAGCCATTGAAAATTAGTAGTCCGATATTACACGTCTTTTTGTACATATGTATCTGGGGAAAACAACTCCATTTAAGATTTGAAGTCTTTATATCATTTTTTACCTTTAGTAATAAAAATTAGCAAAAAATAGCAATTATATACGGTGGGGCCGGGACGGAGGTCAAAAGGGCACGTGTGTCTATCTGTGCGCAAAAAATTGTTAACAGATCGTCGTTCAATATTTAAATGTAGAATTTCTGCTGTTGCGTATAAATTGTGTTATGACAAAATTAGAGTTATTATTTACTGCACATTTGATATGTACAAAGGTATAAATTTTGCACTTATGATGATTTCTAGATCGGCCATTTCGCCCTATTCCTAAATTTCTGATTATTTTCAGATAATTAAATATATTCAATAATCGTATGCCATTTTGAAAAGAAAATAAAACCCTAGTCAAAATACTATGTAAAGAATATATTAAGCTCATTTTCCTTGTTTTACCCTATACCCCACCTTTCCCCTGGGTAATAAAGGACTAGTGCATGATGCAGATAAAATATCATGTAACAAGATAATTACATACAGTTTTTGACAATCATGTTATTGTTTTCAAATAGGCTTAGTTGATACATAAAAGATAGTACTACACTGTTTAACAAATAATTCATGATATCAAATAATTTATGAAAAGCTTAATTTCAAAACATACACAAGACTCCTTTTCAGCAAAAAAGTGAGGTTTATAAAAATAATACAAAAGCAACTAGTGTAAAAATATATATTGAATTCATGTCCGAGCAAGATGGATTAAACAATCAACAGCTTATTGTACCTGCCTTTTGTTTAATTGAAAATTAAAGGTCATGCAAAGCAACCAATGCACATTTATTTCATGCCATCTTTGATTGATAGTAAATCTCTAATATCAAGAGATAGCATTACAGTACATGAATCAAATGTTTTAGAAGGAATTTAAAGAAATAACCATAATTTTTATCAAACAATCCTTAGCGAACTTTGTACTATATTCCTTAACATATCCGCTTCCATATAGCGAACAAACGTGTTGTATGCATATGTTATATATGCATATAACTAGTATTCACAGGTTTATTTTCACAAATCAAAACAGAAAAAACAACTTTATATTTTACATATTTACCCAATTGCTATTTACAATGTACTAATGCTGATCAACGAAAATCAAATTTAGAACTTGTTTTAGTTAATATATTGTTAGGTTATTTCTCCTTTATACATATAAAATGAGCCTGCTTGTTTGCAGGAGCATATGTCTTCGCCTGTCGTGAAATAACCTCTCTGGGATTCCCTAAAATTTTAAGCGAAAATTCTCTTTCAACTTTCCTCTCGTAGTCGTCTACAAAAATGTGTGTACCATTCTTAGCAATTAACGATGACGTGTAAATAGACTGGTACCTTCCCGGTGTCCCCTTCTTATATCCAGGTGGCGCGTCAACAATTATTACATCCCATGGCGTCTGGGTGACAACGGGAGGTAACTCTGATCGAAGATCAAGCTCAGTCCAAAGTTCTGAGTTGTTTATGTATTTATTGAATGATTTTACCGTATCAGTGGTATACCTTACTGCATATGCTTCTAAATAAGGGAACCTGTTTTTAATTTTCTTAAACCATACACCTTTAGGCTCGATAAAGATAACCTTTCCTTGTGTACTGTCATGCCAGAAGGGACTGTCGTTACCAAGTCCCCAAACAAGTAAATTACCATTACGGGGAAGAGCTTTTGTGATAACTGCTACTTGTTTTTCACCCATTTGAGTTCCTGGCGGTAGCCTCTTCAATATTGTTCTATTTGTAGACGCAAGTGGCTTTAATATAAGCTCTTTCGGGTTGATATTTTTCTGCGCTTTCTGTGTGACGGGGGAAATTATTTCCGTTTGTTGTATAGGTCGCGTGTAAAATATTATCACAATGACTATTACACTAGTGCATAAAGTTAAAGCACGACCACTATTTAGTTTACAATATATCACTGACATTCTTTAAAATAAAATATTACAATAGTTACAAATGGTGTAAGAAAAAAAAACTATTTACATTTAATAACAGAAAATTATGGATATGTGAAAGCATCAACAAAACGTTACCCAAGGTCTGTTCTATTCATCTACAAATGTGCGAATGAGGCAAAAAAATCTGTTTAAAACAACCAGGTCAGCTCTTTACCAAAGCGTATTCCATTTTAGTGTGAAGGCGCATAACGGATTGGCTTTGCAGTGAAGATATTCACCGTAGGTTCCAAATTGTTTGCTATTTAATTTTCACTGTATTTTTATGCCAAATTTCTGACGAGCATCTATCTCTCTTCCTAGAACAATTGATGTAACAAACCAGGGGATTGACAATGATAACGTTCACCAATCTGAAATATGTAACGACGTTTTAATAAGATAAGTCAATATAAAAAGGTAGCTGGTATATAATTTGTATCAATATTAATTTGTAATTATTATTGTACATATGCCTGTGTAAAGTAATTAGTTACACACATATACATTTTTACAGAAAAGCAGATAAAACTGTAATGTTATAGCAACATTTATGTGGGGAAAACACTTTGAATACTAGCAGAATTCTTTTAAATAATCATTATAAAAAACAATTTGATCGTTTCATGTTTAAATATATAAAAAAATGCTTAAGCCGGTGTTGGGTGGGTTTTTTTATGTTATATTTTTCAATTGTTATAGAATTTATCAACAGGAAATTTTGTTGTTTCCGTAATCATATGGTCGATTTATGAAAGAGTTGTAACATAGAATGTCTCTATTATTAAACACATATAGATTTTGTAAGATTTTGTACACAAAAAAGTGTTCTATGACAATAAAGTATCTAAGTAGGGTTTTCACCGTTAATCAATTATTTCGTGCATGCCTCAAGAAACATACTTTATAATGCTTTAGAAATATACAAATATATTTCTGTCATGCAGGTGTTTTGGAAGTTTTCTTTCTTTTTAAATTAAAACAATAATTCTGTACTCTTCAGACAAGAAATGTATATATCTATACACTTACGTTAGCTTAAATTTATTTATTTACTGCAATATTTAACAGCAATAAATCACTTTAGTTATTCTTAAAATAGCAAAGTTAAGATACTCGACTGTAATACTAGATTTAGCTTGCTGGGTGTTCTATCAATGCAGATATATTATAAATATTTAGAAACCTGTCTTAGTTTACCCTATTGTTACTTGAACGTTTTCCTGAACTAGGAGATTTACCTTGTGCTTTAAATGCTGATGTGTGCAGTGCTCGGAAAAAAATAATATGAGCCGTGTCACGACAAAACCAACATAGTGCGTTTGCGACCAGCATGAATCCAGACCAGCCTGCGCCTCCGCGCAGTCTGATCAGGATCAATGCTGTTCGCTATCAGTTTTTCTACTTGTAATAGAGTTGGTAAGCGAACAGCATGGATCCTGATCAGACTGCGCGGAGGCGAAGGCTGGTCTGGATTCATGCTGGTCACAAACCCATTATGTTGGTTTTGTCATGACGCGGCTCATATATAAAGGATGCTGTTAGAGACGTCTGTCTGTCTGCTACTGTACCGCGTTTTACGATGCTCATATTACATGTAATTATATTAACGATACATAGATGAAACACATCCAGTCATCCATTGTGATTGTCTAAAGCCCAAATTCTTCAAATGAAGTTTCCAGTGTCATGCGTGAATAAGTAAATTACATCTGTCGATTGTTTCAACCAATTAAGTGCTATTCTTTAATTTTTTTATAATTTTCAATAACTGGTTTCTAAGGCATCGATGTTGGAATGAATTATTTTATACCTCTCTCATGGAGGTAAGTTTCTGTTGCAATTAACACATGTGTATCATATATGAGCCGCGTCACGACAAAACCAACATAATGGGTTTGCGACCAGCATGGATCCAGACCAGCCTGCGCATCCGCGCAGTCTGATCAGGATCCATGCTGTTCGCTTACAAACCCTATAACAAGTAGAGAAACTGATAGCGAACAGCATGGATCCTGATCAGACTGCGCGGATGCGCAGGCTGGTCTGGATCCATGCTGGTCGCAAACCCACAATGTTGGTTTTGTCATGACGCGGCTCATATATCAAATACTATTACATAAATTAACACAATCATTAAACCTACACACCTCCAGATGAGTAAATTAAATCTTTAGAAAAAATCAATCTAATGAAAAATGTAATTACAGTTTAAGAAATATATTATCGATAACATTACATGTATTGAATGTACTCTTATTGTAAAAAGTTTGACAGAATTTAATATTTTTATCAACGGAATGAGTGATAAAAATTTCTGTATGTTTCACCAAGTTACACGTAATTTTTGTGAAAAGTAGGTGTCTTGTGATTAATTAAAACACTTCATTTGTGCATTTCCCATCATTAATTTTGACAAATTAGAATAATTTTAAAGATTAACACATGTTAAACACAAGTTTGGACGTAGACTGCTTTAATGCGTAATTCATGGTAATTGTTCTATTTATATCAAAGGCTGTTTGACTGATTTTCAAATCACACTGATAACTCCCACCATATCATGACTGTGATCGGGTGTGATATAAATGCATTGAATATCAACCTGAACCATTATTTCTTTCTTTTCCTTTTTGGAAATAAGTTCGGTTTTAGTGTTTTGTATACTACTTTGTTTATATTTAATAAAATTTCACACTCAGTATTCAAACTATCATGTTGGTTCGGTTTTCTATTAGAACTTACGAGATTTTGTGTGCAGCTAGTTAATGTCAACCGGTTATACAAATGGCATTGTGGAAATATAGTAAAACACATCCAGACATCGAGTTTTTATTTCCATTTATTACATAGTATTTTCACATCACAGTAAATAGAAATAAGAAGTTTTTCGCATGCGTAAAATAGCTGCGAAGGAATGGCCATCTGTGAAATACATACCTCGAGAAGAGCAGAATACAGAATATACTACCTTGAAAACGGCTGTTTAGATCTTTGCAATTTTTAAATGAAAACTAAATGTGAAGCATTACGAACGGAAAGTTAATTACGTCGAAGTACTCACGTTTACGTACGGTCACAGTACGGGTACGCTTAAACTATAGCCGTAAAGCTCAGCAATAATTGACTTAGACATTTTCTAATATTTATTGGTTTTTAAAATTCAACTAAATTCATGTTTAGTCAATTATCTCCTCTTGATATATATGAAATGAGCCTGTTGATTCGCACCTATGATCCCCTTGGCCTTTCGATGAACAACTCCAACTGGTGTTCCTAACATTTTAAGCGAAAATTCTCTTTCAACCTTCCTTTCGTAGTCGTCAACGAAAATGTGTGTACCATTCTTAGCAATTAACGATGACGTGTAAATAGACTGGTATCTTCCCGGCGCGCCTTTATATCCAGGTGGCGCGTCTACAATTATTACATCCCATGGCGTCTGAGTGACAACTAGTGGTAACTCTGGTCTTAGATCAAGGTCAGACCAAATTTCTCGGTTGTTTATATATTTTTCAAAGGATTTTTCAGTCACAGTAGTATATTTTACTGGATATGCTTCCAAATAAGGATATGAATTTTTCATTTTATCAAACCAGAAACCTTTTGGCTCAATGAAGATAACTTTGCCTTGTGTAATGTCATGCCAGAAGGGACTATCGTTTCCAAGTCCCCAAACAAGTAGGTTACCATTTTGTGGAAGAACTTTTGTTATAGCGGCTACTTGTTGCTCACCCATTTGTGTTCCTCGTGGTAAGCTCTTCCAAATTGTTCTATTTTTATACATTGTTTTGTTAACGTCCGGATCTTTATGTTTTTCACCAGTTTTAAGAATGGGCTCAACTTGGATCATTTTCATTTTGTCTGGTTCTATAATATGAGGACGAACACTTTGCGACTGATCAGTATGTTCTTTAAATGTAAATAATGTATATAGGATGATAACACTTATGCTCAGTATGACGATGAATCCAAATCTCCGTTTGAATGTAAAAGATGGCATTTTAATGGCCGCCAGGGTTATAAATCAAGTATGACCTGTTAATGCTGACATAATTTATCATCAATGCTGAGTCGTTGAATACATTGAGCTTATAGATTTTGTGCGATTTTGTACAGTTTCTAAGCGACTTCATAACAATACTGACACCAAGAACGTCTGCCACTTGTCAAGTAAACAAACCTTAAAGCGTCCGTAAGAGTAATTCACTTACACCTACTAGTATTTAATTACGCGCCAGTGCAGGTAATATGTTGAAATACACATGTAAGTTTGGCTTCTTTTTGCAGCCACCAAAATTAATCAAATGGAGTCATTGAACCGTTTGATAGCAATATGCGGTCAAATAATATAAGATACTGTCCACTTCAGAACCGCTACAGATCATGTAAAGATGTTTTACATTAGGCAAGCCTGAGAAGAAAATAATTTTAATTGTACTTCATGCCACGAATTGTACAACCGTAGCATTTCAGCGGGGCGTATTTGTTCAGAAAGATGGGGTTTTGCATCGGAGTAGGGTGATATTTTGTGTATAAGCAGTTGTTACTCAGTTTTAATTAGCCACTGCGAAAGAAAACAAACGCTGGTTAGTAGTTCCTAAGCCAATGGTTAGTGTAAAACGTCACCAAGCAATGTTAAAATGTTATTGGTGTAGAGTTAGAAACATTTTTTTCCATCACCTTGATGAGGACAGAAATGAAGCCAATTCAAAAGACATACACAACACAGCACCATTCTGAAATATAAAAATGGAATCCAAATCATTTTAAACATCTCTTGTTAACAGATATCGACCTATAAGCTTTTATATTGATATCGATCCCTGAAAAAGCTGTAAATAAACGGCTGGGTGGATGCATTATACAATTCCATCTATGTATTAATTAGTGTTTTTATTATTATAGAAATTGATTCCAGAAAGCTCCGTGATGTCACCGATAAAGTCAGTTAAAATATTAATCCAATATTTGCTAAATGTAAAGACACAAATGTCATTTGGTTAAGTTCGATAATTAATGATAAGTAAAGAGCGTACATATATTAATTCGCCAGTTAGATATATTGTATCATGAATTTGTTTGATTAGCGGGGTGATATGTCGGAGACATTGAAGCTAGTATCACACCGCCTTAAATGAGCATGAAGATTACTTCTTTTATCACAGTGTTAAGACCTTTCTATCGAAGATGTGTCAGGGTGAAATCGTGTACCCACACATGATCAGTCAGGAGTCAGTTACCTGCAAATCAGTTACAACACTGTCTATCGGGGATACAAATAGAGCATGCTCGTTGATTGACCTATTTTTCCTGTGGTTAACTTATTGTGACGACAGGTAACATGGAAAGGGCTAACGATAGAAAAGTCATATTTAGATGCTTGTACATTGGTTACTTTTTTCTGGGATCTCATATTGTGACGACAGGGAACGTGTTTTTTTTTATTTTTGCCAATGATACAAAAGAGAAAGAACATCAAAACACTTGGCAATCTGATTTATAATCAGGGGCTTTGCCCACTTGTACAAATAAGAAAGCCTCTTGTTTTACGGTGCTCTATCTGTTACTTAACGCATTCATAGAACTCCAAACTTCATTCTTAGGTAATCTTAGGCAATAAGAATCAGCCTTGGGTTTATGACAAGCAAAAGCAAACAAAAAACAATATTTTCCATGTCACTGTCGGGACTTATTAATAATTTCATCAAAATGTTTTAACGAGGCAGTGTAATCTTATATTAAACCTAGCACATAGAACCTTATCGTTCTTTTGTGATTAAACAATCGTAAAATGACGGTATTGTGGTTAAGCAATATCTAATATATTCACTGAAGATTCAGACTTAACCATGAAGAATATGGTGAGGCAGATACGGGCAATATAAAGCACAAACATTAATAAACTATTAGTTAAAAATTAAACAAGCGGTTAGTATAGGGTAATCAATGGAAAAACATGGATAAAGCTAGTAGCACAAACACACACAAACAGACATTTTATGACGTACAATGATTTAAAATTATAAGAATACTATATAACTCAACAAAGTCTTACACAAATTAAGGTCTTAACTCCCATTATGCTCCAGGAATGCTATCATTTTTGTTTCTCAAATAAAAGTTTGTTTTTTTCATTTTTGTTGTGGTTATCATGTTACAGTGTTAAAAAAATTACGCGTGTGCCTCATTGATGAACTATCATTCGCTTCTTTTGCTCTATTTGCAATTGGTATATTTAGCGTATTTTGTATATGCGTACAATAGACATATATTCATCAAAATATGATAAATGCAGGCAAAATGGTGACGTTGTTACAGAACGCGCTCAAAGTGCATGCACTAAAAAAATACGAAAACAATTGGACTGTTTTATGTGTATATTAAACAAACAAGCACACAAAAAGCCGACAAATGTTCACAGAACTGGGGTAGTTTTAGACACAAAAAAGACATACATGCCTATAGAGTAGTTATAAATAGGAATTCTCCCGCACACATTGATTTGTCCGAAATTAATAGTCCACTTAAAGATAATTTTACAATACATGTTCATATATTTAAAAGTAAGTGATTATTACACGTCTTTCTTTCCGAAATGCAAGCTTTTCAAAGTTTATACACTTAAACCTGTTTTAGATTTTAAGAATCGTGTTTTATTTTGTCGTTGTTCACATCTAATTACCATTTTCACGTGGAGAGGCTATCACTGCGTAAATAAAAGGACATAAATGCATTCATCATGAAAGTGTTAAAACTTTTATGGGCAACAAATAATATGCAAAACATAGATAAACAATTGAAAAATTTATATTTTACATTTCTAAAAACCATGTGTGGGTAGTACTAGATTTAAGGCACACTATAAACATGCATTCATGTGACGGTATTCAGGTAATGATAGATGAGAAAATAATTCATAAATAATGACTGAATACGATATTTGAAAGAAAAACACATTGAAGATTTTCATACAGGTATTCTTTACTGGCATGTTGATGAAAAGAACAAACGGTAAATCATTCTTAAGTTTATGGGAAAGTCTAGGCAAGCACTTGATTTATCAAACAAATATTTGTTGTAAACTGCAAACGCAGACCCAGGACCGTTAGCCATTGGGGTTACAAACGATGGGGATATTGATTCATGAGTCTAATTTTTGCATGATTTTCAAATAAAAAACGTAAGTAAATATTCTAAATGCAAATCTTAAAGAAAAACTAAATACTAAATTACTATCAAACATATATCCAAAGTTTTATAGAATATTCAAATGAGCGCGATACTGTATGCTTAACAGACAGGCCAAAAATATTGGACGTACAATATATTTAGATTTAACAAAATTTTACACAGTTTAAAACAATAAAGCATAAAATGTCAACACGGAATATTAATAGCATGAATTTTAGTTAAGAAATTTAATAGACATTTTTTTGTAAATCAATACATTTTATCTAAGTTATATACAAATGTTAGGTGTAACGTTATTATATAGGTACTTAAACTTCTAACAAATTACATTTGTTAAACATTTTCGGAAGAGTTCAAAATAACGTAAAATTGAATAAACGTATTGCTTATTTTGAATGTTATGATTGAAAACAAGTTTTGTTTCGAGCACATGTTATTATCTTCATTTTATTCGTATTCGTCAATTAACCACTTTGAGTTTTGTTTTAAAATAAAAAGCGAAAACAAAATCTTAATTTCACTGTGCCCTGTTAAATAATAATAGATTTGCGATAATTACGCTTGCAATAATCAGGTTATATTTAAAGTAAAATACTCACTTACTGATACGCTTATTCCAAAGGAGTTTTTTTTCTCCTGAAGTTTTTCTCTAGTCCATTGATACCTTGCTATAAATGCACGACGAGGGTAGATACGTTCCTATAACAATTCCACCGGGACTCTGAATTATGGATTACCAATACAATCTTTATTCAGTTCAAAAATATACATCGATTTAACAACATTTTACTATATTAACTATTATTTGACACAACACATGTATGTCTAACGTATGTGTCTAGATACACTTGATTAATTGTGCAACTTTTAAAACAAGTTTCAAGTTTCGTCTCTATTGACAAAACAAGTTCAATTCCTGTCATTTTTTATTGTTTCGGTTTAAACCAAACACACTTTTTCGTGTATATATAAAACGCGGATAAAGCTCGTGTTTATGGTAATGAGACAGCGATAATACACTCGAATGAATAGAAATGCATTAAAGAGCCCAATAATGTTTTCGCTTAGATATATAGGATGGATGTAGGGTGATGGTGTGGAGCCGGCGGGTGCTCCCTTAAATTGCTTCCCCCATCATCCCCTTAAATTCTGTATGTATAATTAAAAAAACGACGTAAATAAATTCTAATTCATCACAATGGGTCAGTAACTTTATTGCCTATTTCAAAAAAATGAAATTTTTTTAAGAAACTGTTGTCCGGACCATTAAGCTTGGTTGGGTGAAATGACTTTTGATAAATAAAAAAACTCTCAACCGCATACAAACGATAGCATATTTATGTATATCATGGAAGAATAGAATTATTTTTCACTTAAAAAATCGCCTAGATATTTTTGCAATCGAGTTATGTCAATTGATGTCGTAAAAACAGATTTAAGTACGATACGAAAGTATTATAACTTTTTTCTCATTGGCATGTTGGCACTGAAACAGATCCCGGAGAGAGGTACCCCTAAAACAATCTTCCAGTTATATGGTACTTTATACAAGAGTTAAATTTGTTCCAATCTCGCTTTTAGAAATATTTAAAATGAGATTCATTGATTTGTCAATCGTTCCAAGCGAGAAGAGGCTCTGAACAGCTCTAGTTTAGAATTATTACCTCGTGCATATATTTAAGTACTGGTTTAATATGCTTTCTTAAACATGAATAGGATTTAATTATGTGGTCGAATTTCCTCTCTTAACTATACATTCGAAATTGTAGCAACAATGTTCGTTCCCCTGTAACATCAATACTTACGACAAAAAGCACAAAAGCTGAAGCAGAATTCAACATTTAAACCTGATAATATTGATACCTTGAATATAAAAATCATCTGCTGATGTGTTCATATTGCGTTATCAAGAAAGCACACTTGTATCTTTGTTACATCGTTATCTGAAACGTATTTTATAAACTTCGACTTTACTTTTGGCATTTACATTTTATTTTAGATTGGCCAATGATATTCCCACATTTCATTTTGTAATTTTAATAATGACAAATGAAAACTTTTTTTTATTCAGTTCTTTCCTGTAAATTTTAAAGGAAGTCAAACTGATTTAACACCGGTCCACGGCCGGAAAAATATCATAAATAAAGAAAAAAAAACACAAAAAAATCATACAAAAAACACAGATATAGCTTCCTGCTGAACGATCTTCAAGGATCAAAACTATAAAATCTTTTCACGATTTTACAGGGCGATTTAATGCCCTCATACGACACAAACAACGCTGATGTGACAGTAAAAAGTTATATATAATGTGTGGGAACTGCTGAACGATTTTTCCTAAGAGGTAAGTTGAAGTGAAAATGTTGTCTTTGTGCAGATATACAAATAATGACACATTTCTAGGCTCTGTTAAAAGTTTTTTCATGTTTGTATTGAGGAGAAATACTTATGCATAAACGTCAATTATAAGTAAAAGTATTTCTACTCATTTCATAAAATCACTGATTGCCACAGTTTAAAATGAACATAATAGCAATAATTATATTTAAATTGCTGTGTCTTTTAAATTTACTTGGTCAGTGATTTCAAATAAAGGTAAGGTTGACCAACTTGAGTTTGGCTCCATGGTGGAAGACTAAAATTCGTTGCAGCAGTGATGTTTTGCCGTGTCTCTTTGCAGTTGATGTTTCAAATTCTTCAGGTTTTACATGCAAATAAAACTTGAAAATATAAAATAACAATAAATAACAAACTAATTGGGGTATATAAAGCACACAGAATGATGCTCACAAAGCCTGAAAGGTCTTTCAGTTTATCTTGATTTTGAGTGTTAATTCCATCATGAAGGGTTTGAAATATCAGCTGCCGGGGGGGAGCTTTACTCCTTAGATAAGTATTTTTCAAATTTTTGAAAGAAGATGAGATGAAGAGGAACAATTTACTAACAAAGACTACTAACAGACATCTAAGATAGATTTCACAGATTGATTGATCATAAACTTTTACCATGCCAAGTAGAAAGACTCGTTTTAATGCTTCATGGTTGCTAAAAATCGATAACAACGGTCACCGCCTTAGTCAGTGGTTCAAAGCAGATTCAGCATCCGTCTGCAATGCATTTTGTTTTGTTTGCATCAAGTCCATCTAATGTGCTTATATTGGTGCAAAACAACCCATAAGTCATGCAAATGGAATTAGTCATAAAGAAGTTATGAAAGCAAAGCTGTCAGATTCTCAGAAACACATCTCTGTCTGTAAAGGAGAGAAGACCAGTATATCCAGTTCCTCAAAAACAGGAGGTGATGTTGAGAAAACAAAGTCATTTTTTTCTCAGTATTCTTCTCTCGAAGAGAGAGAATGTAAGGCAGAGACGCGTTTTTGCTTTTAAAGTGGCATCAAGTGGATAATCATATAATTCTTGTGAAGGAATCCCAAAATTGTTTCAGGACATGTTTGAAGGTCGCCCTGTTGCCAGAGACTATTGTATGAACAAATCCAAGGTGTCTTATATAATTTCAGATGGTCTTGGACCATACATACAGCAAGGAAAATAACCACAAATAAAAGTCCATACACAATTCAGTTTGATTAGAATGGTACAGTAAAAATAAGAAACACTAAAATTGATGTTTTATAAGGTGTGGGAATGAAGAGAGGGTGTTCTTAACAAGTATATTTTTGGTCTTAATAAAGGTGTCTATGTTTGTCAAGCAATTATAGATACCCTGAATAAAAAGGTTGTGAAATATTTTAGTACATATAGAACTTATTTCGCTTGGAAGTGATGGTCCCATTGCTAATAAAACTGTTTGGAATTGTGTAAATGATTATAATAAATCCAAAGGAATGCATGAACTTACTGAGTTTGTGCCATGTCCAATTCATACAGTGCACAATGTGTAACGAAAATGATTAAATGTCTTTGGGGAGGATGCAGAAGAACTTGCTTTAGATCATTTACAATTATTCAAATCAAATGCCTCTCAGACAGAAGATTACATGTGTAGTATTGGATGAACATAATCTTGAGGAGACTATGTTTATAAGACATGTTCAATGCACGTGGCTGACATTAATTCCAGCACTAAAGAGTGATCTTAAGAATTGTGATGCCTAAAACCAGTACGTTTTGAAAGATTTACCTCAGCTGAGCAAAGAAGATGGAACTGATAAATATCTGAGAAGGAATACACGCTATCTTAGAATATGTGAAAAGTTAAAGTCCAAAGAAATAATGGCACAGATCCAGTTTTTGATCAGCGTTAGCCTTATCTTTGAAAAATTCCTGACCTTATTCCAAAAACAGGAACCTCAGATACACATGTTGCATTCAGAATCACGTGATCTTGTGAAAACCTTAAAGCTCAGATTCATGAATCAGGGTGCTGTAGGTGTAAATGGATTTAAACTTGCCAAAATAGATCCTAGAGATTCAAAATACCTCCTTAATCTGAAAGAAATGGAAATTGGAAGTTACACTCAGAAGAATCTTTCAAAGATTGTTACAGGTAAACAGAACAATCTGCAATATAATATGCGAAAGCTCTTTCAAGAAGCTACATGCTAACTGGCTGCAAAGCTACCAATTAGAGTTACATTATTAAAGAAGGCAGAATGTTAACATCCAGGTGTAAATGAGGAAACGGGGGGTCAGTAAACTATTCAGTAGGTTGTCGGAATCACTACCAGACATTTCTGAAAATGAGATATCCTTTATAAGGGATGTGTGGAATGTGTACAGAGACAGGAATGTACCAGATGAGAATATATTCGCATTTTTAGGATAGTTCATTACTGGAATACTGCAATCTCAGTGTGGAAACCTCAGGACGTTTGAGGAATAAGAACCTGACAAAAGCCAGTGATTACTTGTCTCTGTTTGTGTCATGGCAATGCAGATGTAGAGAGAAGTCTCTCTGTTAACACATTTCTAACAAATGAGAGAACTTTGCTTTCAGAAGAATCATTAAAAGGGCTTTGACTGACAAGAGATGCATTAAACATTTATAAGGGCAATGTCACAGATGTTCCCATTACTAAAGAACTTCAGTCATATGTTACCAAGTCCTTTCAGAAATATAGAGAAAGAGTTAAGATAGAAAATGCTGAAACAAGATTTCTTGAAAGTAAAAGGCGTGTAACGAAAGAGCAACTTGAAGAAGAAAAAGAAGCATTGAAGCAAATTGAAGAAAGATAGAGAAAATTTTGTGAAAAGGAAAAAATGTTTAAAAAAGCGAAGACCAGTTAAAGTCAGTCCTTGCAAAGGCTAACCATGTGTTTGCTGAAGCAAACAAAATACTTGCTTCAGCTATTAAGAAGAAGACTTTTGTTGAGCTGGACATAGCCCAAGGATTAATAGAAGTGGCTAAAGCTGACCTCGATAGGGTTACTGCAGCTGTAGAGAGGTGTAGAGAGCAGCGTCAAAGTATTGATTGTAAGCGTCAAAAATACTACATAAGAATACCACATTCACAAACAATTATGATTGTTATGATTAGTTATTATTAGTAGTTATGATGGCACTACAACATTAAGTGTTTACTAGTCTATAACCAGTGTGACTCAATCTAATATTATATACTAAATAGCTATTTGTGTATTTGCACATGTGAGCATTAGTATCTATCTGGCATTAGTTTTGTTTGTTAATCAAGTTGTAATGTTTTAATTGTTCTGCAACATTTAATATATGCTACTTCAGCAAAACTCTTACTAACATTGTGTATTTGCACATTTAAATATTAGTACTTGGGGTGCCTGTACCAGCAGAAGTTTAAATCAAGCATGCATCAACTGTTCCTGAGAAAGACACTGAGCTGCTTGGTGTCAGACTGACTGACTGAAGTCTAAAATTGAAGTTTTGTCTGCATTTTGTTCTGCTTTGCCTGACAGGCCACATGTGCACCTCAAAAAAGCATGTTCTAAAGCAACATCTTAGAAAAGAATTTTACCAACTTAAGAATTTTACCACCTAAAGAATTTAACAACCTGGTTCTCGGTCTCTTTCTCTAGAACAGCACTGAAATGTACATTCACTGTATTTTATAGTTTGTTCGAAATGTTCGATTGTATTAATAAAGTGAAAAAAATCAGGTTGACAGCAGCATGTACACAAGATATTAGAGCCTTCTGAAGTAAGACATCCTTATATCATGGACTGCCGTTTTTCTAAAATGTTCTGCATTGCTAAAGTGAGTTAATTTATACGAGATTTCTTGGTATGTGTCTTAAATTCATCCCTACTTTTTGTGGTCAAATTCCTACTTTTGCCCTTCTTTTTTCCTACTTCTTTCTTTTTTCCTATTTTTTCATGAATAGCCACTTTAAAGCTTGGTATTGTATGACCCTTTGCAAAAAAAGCTAATTTTTAAAGTTAATAGATGACTGTTTCACCCAGACAATGGTACGTCAAGTTGGCCGGTGTGGGCTGTACTGTCCATGAACAGGTTCAATCAAACCGAGCCTACAACATTTTCAATTTTGTCGTATTGGGCTTTGTTTGGCGTTTCTGTGCTTCTCTTTTTTAATAAAAGTTGTTGAGCAGAAACAGAAACTAGTCGCCTGTATAAAGAATGTCGAAAAATTCAATTTTTCCAACTCATTAGATTATTCTCAAGCGACTCGATCTGGGAAGCTATTAGCCAATGTTACGGCAATATGTAGTTTATGGGATTCATTGTTTTCATTACGCATGTGTTGGAGTTAAATAAATACTCTTTATTTATGTATAGGCATTTACTCTCGTTACAAAATGACTTCTTGCGACGAAGCCTACTGCAATCTACTCATTGACCAACTGTTTTGACGAAACAAACAATTTGAAAACGCGGAGCACAAATTTTTGTGCAAAGTTTACCAGTAAACACATTACAGGTCCTCCCAGGATAGGATTTTGCCCCTTTCAGTATTTCAAACTATGTACAGTTTATATAACTATTTTAAGTTATTGACTCAAAAGATTCTTTCAAAACAACACTGCAAATTTATCCATAAGCATATTGGATGCAAAGAACTCATCGGATAGGTTGGATACTCAAGTTATTGTACACATGTGATAACTTTGATTCTGATTTGACACAGACTCTAAAGGTAATGTAATCAAAGGTTATTGCGGTAAAATGTGCTTTTTGTCTGGGCTGCTGATTCATCATACTTTGTGGAAACATTTGACCCGGTTCACCATTTTTTTACGAAATCCACTTTGACAATGTCAAACAAGAATCCTTATGAAAGACAGTTCATGTTTAACACAATTCCCCCCCCCCCATTTTTCTAATAATATGACTGCGTGTGTATGTATGATGCGTAATAAGAATTAAAAACAAAGTAAAAAGAAATCATTGTGAAATACTTGTGTTCTAGTCTGTTTCTTTAGAAGATAATTGTTATGTGTCGCTGTGATAAAAGTGTGTCTAAATACGTTTACATTTATTTATTACATGCTTTTCGGTGGTTTATAGAAATATATCAGTGATTTAAAACTGGTAATTTCACTGTTTGAAACAGTGAAATTACCACTTTGATAATTTCACTGTTTTGAATTTAAGCCCCTTGCGTTGTTTCAGTGAAATACCAGCGTGCACAGTACTGGGTACCAACTTAATGACGTGACGGCGTAAATGACGTCACGTTGTATTATTATTTGGCGCGCTTTTCATTCAGTATTAGGTTTAATGTCTTTTTAAAACGTTTCTTTGCATATAATAAAAAGAAAATTTGTTTAGTTTAGTGTAAGATCGAAATATATTTCACCTTGTGAACACCAAAAGTTCATATTTCACTCGTGGCTGCGCCACTCGTGAAATATACCTTTTGGTGCTCACTCGGTGAAATATATTTCGATCTTACACTGAACTAAACAAATATCCTCTATATCTCTTTGGTAGATTTTCCTGAAAGTGGGAACATTGTTATCGTATTCAATGATTTTCCAAATGTAATTAATTCGAAAATAAAATACTTAAAAATTGATTTATTTTTCTATACATGTACATTATGTAACATACATGTATATACTTTGTATATAAGACTCAAGAACGGCTAGAAAAACAGAAGATGAAGAATGAAATAGGTCGACTTGTGAGGAGGCTGTAAAAAGTCAATACAACAAGATGTTCTGATATATCATTATCCGACATTTAATGAATCAAATCTTAATTTAAATTTAAAATTAAAATTTTGTCTTATTGGGCTTTCTTTAGGGATTTTTTATTTCTTTATATTTTGTAGATTGCAGTTGAGTTGGAACCAACTATGAGGTATGATATGTCGGCCACATCCTCGTTGACTGAGCCAGTATTATTGGTTCCTACACAAGAACATATTGTGAGTCTATTTAATCATTTATTGTTCGTGTCTTGTTGAATACCAAAGTCCACTGTTGCCTTCTCAGTGAAACAATATCGCTCAACAAGTTCTCGTTGGAAAGTTCAGGCCGTCCCCTGTATAACAAAATAAAACACTGAATTCTTGACAAGTTGCAATTGTAATCTTAGGGGAGTTCCACATGGGAAATGTCACACTGGGCTGATGTCTTTCCTCACGCTCCCATAGAACCGGGTTTAGAGGTATTCAATCATCAACACTAAAAGTTATTTCACTTTATTTATTTTCATTCCCTTTGCAAGACACCAAGTATGACATTTTTAATATACTTTGTATTATGCGTAAAATAATACACAATTTACTTCACAAAAGGAAACTGTGAATAGATTTATGTTTTTTGTCATGTAAAAACCATCTTATTGTATTGTTTAAAGTTATATAACGATTGTATATATAACATGTGTTGTATTACACTCTCACTAGTTTATTTCATTTTTTGATATGCGTTACCATTTTTCACATTCATGCATACAAAGTTATATTTGTTGTATTTGAAGATGAGCTGTATATACATGGAAATGCTGTTTGTTGTTATGTTCTGTTCTGTGTCATTAAACAAATTCATTAGTAACATTTGTTAATTCAGTTGAAATATATTGTTTATTCATTTTTAATTCTTATTGTTTTAAATGTTGATGGATATTATGTTTTCTATTATTATCTTAGAAATCAATTTAGATACCCAAAGACATATTTCATGCTGATTTTGGCAAATTAACTTGACACTATTAAATGAATCTAAACCTGAATGTATCAGTTGATACAATTAAGGGTATCAAAGTGATTGAATTATCACTTGAATAATGTATATAAAGGGACAGTACTCATTGTATATCGTGACATTCAGTTAATCGAGTTATTTGGAAATTCCATAGAGGTTTTAATTAAAAACTAATAAGCGTTCTTTTTTATCAAGTACGAAACATATTTTTTGCAATATCATAATGTCTAGTAACATATTTTAAAATGTTATTCTTTTATTTAAATATATAAGTAAAGATAATCGAATTATTACACATTTATTAAGATTAGAATAAAAAATGAATATGTTAGGACATCAGTATATGTTATAAATAAGCTAATATGTCTTCTGTAAAGTATTGACTTAAATAATCAGAGGAGGCACTTGAATCACAGTCGGATAATTTTGAATTATTTTCATCATCGTCAATATCATCATCCGTACATGTTTCACACTTTTTAACAACAATTATTTTACTTCCTTTACGTTCCGGCGTTTTCGTCCGACTGCTATCCAAGTCACTATCCTCTCCAAATATATCACTTGCTGATTTATTTCTGGTGTGTAATATAAGACTAGATCTAGCAAATTCACAATAAAGTCCGTTTCTTAATCTATAATCCCTAAGGTCTGTTTCACTTTTATTCAGCCGTCCGTTTAAGTGTTGAAAAGCGTCTCCATTGGCACTAGAGGTAGATTTTAATAAAATGTCGTCTTTCACATCCGGTTTGATATCAATAAACTCTGGACTTCCGGAATCCTCGAGAATTACGTCAGTAGCAGTAATGTCCCTTTGCATTGTAGAAGTTAACTGTAAAGAGCTACCGGAACTTGAACACGTTCTCAATAAATGTTCTCGTAAATTATACGCGCAGTATAGCAAACAGTGTAAAAATGGAGGCCCTGCCACTATCATGATTGATAATAAAATGGCAGTTTGTGTAGTATTGTCCCAGTCTATAACTAGTACTCCAGCGTGAGGCGTAACGTGTTGATAAATGCTTATGAATATTGCGTAGAATATAAAGAAGACGACTGGCTGATAAAAGTGAAAGATTTTCACTGGAATAGAAGACACTATTGAGGTATTCAACATCACATAAACGCTTGTAAGGATATGCATGCTCACATTTGACAGAGACATATCTGAAATGTAAATTAATATAAACTAATTCTTAGCACCAACGTTTAGAGTTTATAAGCATTAAAAGTAAAGATTTCGTATTGTTCATTCTAAAATGACGTAACCAGTAAAATCCCCTATGGTATGGTTATGCGTACATAATTCAGAGCTTAAATGTCTTAATACAAAGCAGAGACCATTGAACTGTGCACATCGGTGTAAAGAAGTGCCCTATTGCGGGAAAGATGCAATCGGTACAAAAACATTAACAATGGCAGAAAGTACAAGCAAACCGTGCGCATCGGTGTAATTTAACGTCACATTTCGAACAAAATACAAGTGAACCGCTCCTATCCTTGCAATAAAGCTACTGACATTTGAATTTTTTTATAAATGCTCTGTTCTTCATGACACATTTGTCTCCCATTAATACATCTTTCAAAAACTATCTCTATTGTATAGGTTAATAGATATATCATACTCACTAATGTCATTCAAACTGAAGTAAATTATTGTCATTGACAAAGAAACTACGTTATTTGTGGTGTACAAAATCCACTGTACTTTCTGCATCCGACTGATTTCTTCAGAAACATCTGAAAGAAGAGAAATTACTTGATGAAAAAGTCCTTACTGAAAGCCTGTTAACATGCATTCAATATGATTTTTCCGGAAGACGAATGGATTATTGTTGCGTTAAGCTTGGCTTAACCAAATACAGGGACCATAAGTTTTATATTATAATAAAATAATTAATAGACTTTTTTTTCAAAAAGCTATTTTTTTTAAATGTCACACATGGAAAACTTCCTATCTTATTCAATAAAACTGCAACTTCGCTTTTCATTGGTCTTATTGTGACGTTTATAAACGAGTACATATCTACTGTCAATTTATCAAGTAATTTCATTATGTCGTTGTTGTTTTTTTCCCTCTCTTAAAAGAAGTTTGTTATATTATGAATTCGTTGACAAATTAAATGGCAGTATATAAACGATTATTTGCAATATAACCCTCGCCCAGTGGTTCGGGTTTATATAAACCTAGGACTCAGGCGTTGATATTTTTGTTCATTCATAACATACGCGCTATTTCTTACTCGTTCGTGTTTTCATGATATCAATTTGCCGAACAGAAGCACATAAAATAATCGACAGACAGGAACCCAGGCTCGGGTTATATGCAAACAATTGTTAATGGTCGTATAACCACTCAAACATTTTTATAACTAATAATAAGACAAATCATTTGGAATAGATATCAAATACTACTAGTATACATGTATATAAACTTCTCTATTACATTTGTAACACTCACTGTACTAGTTGACTATAAAACCTGGTCAAATCCGTGCTGTCTTTTCATACTGGCTCAACTTAAGTGTTTTGATTCTAAATATTAAGACCTTCTATAGCTCCATATTCAAAATAGTATACGTCTATTAGACATAGCAGTGAAACCAGGTCAGCGATCTGCCTTTTTGCGACGGACGCGCCCTCAGGCGCGTTCAGAGCTAAGTCATCTACACATGAGATTTCGTTGGCTACACTCGCGCAATGTGTCCTAAACCAATTAACAGCCCAAGAAATAGTACATGAATTTGATCCTTCAAAACTCCCATACTTTATCTGGATATCTTAATGTCTTCCATATTTAGCCTTTTCAATTTCAAATTAAGTTATCCAAGTTAAAATATGAACGTATATTATTGATAAAACGTTGTAGTCCGTAGTCATTATTGCGCAATATGCAAATTACTGCTGATGAAACGATTTACCGCTGTCGAAAAAGTAGGACAGCAAATTATACTTCAATAAAGGTGTAACCTCTTGAGTTCCAAGACATTATTAGTAGAAAATAAATATTTCTACATTAAATACAAAACATTATTATTAACAAATCAAAAGTTTTTCGTGACTCTAGGATAACTCGCTCATTAATAAAAGAAGAACTATTTTCGTGACTCATACCGCGGGTTTAGCTGAATATTCAGCAGTTATTAATATATTAGATACAGTACAACGGATAGTATAAATATCTATTTTTTTTTTGAAAATGCATGTAAGACACTTTACCGCCATGTAGTCTTTCATGGTAAGGAAGTTATAATATCAGTTCTACTTACATTCTTGTGGTGTTGTTTACATATTTTACTAGTCATGATATGAGTTAACCTTCGCTATTCTAAAAATAGATTCTGCTTAACCTGTTCTGATTTTTGGACAGGCGATTAGGAAGTACACATTAAACATGTAATTAATAAACCAGCGGATTGTAATGCAATACTTTTAGAAATGCTATACAATTGTAAGAAGCAAACAAGTTGAAAATGGAATTTAGTGTGAAGTTGAAAAGGACAACTAAACACTGTAAGTGCTTAAGTGACATTTAAATTAAAATAAAACGATGTTGCTCTGGCCTCTACATTTACCTTGTAAATAAAAAAAATCTAAGAAATACACTATTAATTGCTGATGATTTTAACCATTTTTTTTAATGAGACATATCCAAGAGAGAAATAAAAATACAAATGACTTATATTTTATTGTCTGTATGCCCACTATGATATAACACGAAGCAATTCTAAAATAGCATTCTTAAATGTATAATGTTATTATGTTTTGAAGTTTTATTTGCCTGGATTTATTCTAGAATATTTCGTTGATAGTTTTTTTTTTTTCTATTTACATATCATTTCTTAGAATAAATCGATAAGGAACACTGATTTACAAGTTTGACCAGAGTTTTTAGGCATAAATTTCATTCTGTATTTAAGTGCTTGAAAGTAGAAAATCTGAATTATATCAATTTAGGACACAAAATATATTGCTCTACAAATATCGAACTTGTATGGAACAAATTTTCTCTGTTATATATTTTGTGTTTTGTTTTTGTTTTCTTTTGTTTTTTTCTAAAAGAAGCCTTAATTAATGTCTCTCCGGTTGCATGTCCGTCGCATTCAGTGCTGCAGCACTTTGATTATACTTGTTACTGTCGTCTGCTCGATTTATTCTAAATATTTACTATCGCTGATTATTGGCAGTTCCATATTCGAAATAGTATAAGTACATAATGATATAGCATTGATAGCAGTTACAAACGGGTTTAACATGAGTTACCTTTGTCTTTTCCAGACGACAATTTTACAGTATATATTCTGACCAGAGCTTCCATCAGCGTTGTTACAATTGCGAGAATGAAACACCAGTGAGAGAGGTAAATTATCCAGAAGTTTCGGTCCTTCCCGGTATAGAAGAATATGTCAACAAACAAGATGACGGTGAAAAAAAGAAACCAAACAGCGTTCCAAACTATAGCCACCCAGGGGCTCCAGTTGACAGGAAGCTGGAATAGAGAGTGAATATAATAAATGTATAAATACCTTTCTCATTAATAAATATTCTATATAAATATAAACTGAAATAAAAGGACTCTCTGAACTTTAATGACCTTTTCTGAGGCATCCCAGACCAAAAAATGTCGGCTGCTATGGGTTGCTATTCTGCTTATAAATACTGCTTTATATCAATATAGCCATTACAAACGTCCGGTAGTGCACTTTCTTTCCATGTTGTCATTGTTATTGCTATTTTTTATCATTATCATTATATTTATTTATTTATTATTATTATTATTATTATTATTATTATTATTATTATTATTATTATTATTATTATTATTATTATTATCATCATCATCATCATTATGATCATTATTTATTATTATTTTAATTATTATTATTATTATTATTATTATTATTATTATTATTATTATTATTATTATTATTATCATCATCATCATCATCATCATCATCATCATCATTATTATTATTATTATTATTATTATTATTATAATTATTATTATTATTCTTTTTTTATTTTCTTTGAAATAACGTTTAACAATGAAAATTTCTTTTTATTACAGTAATCAGAAAAGTTTGCATTTTTCGCGGCAAGAAGAAACTTAATAAAACTAAATATCTCATCTGTGAATGAAATTCTGTTCTGTTCTGTTAAAGTTTCAAATGAGCCAGTTTTGTTTTTCAGTAAATGTCATTGCCCGAAATGTACTTTTTGTGGTGGTCAAATGAAAAGAATATGTTCTCTTTCCTTTTATTTAATTTTGAGAATGAAATCAAGTCAATTGTCAAATTCGAGCGTTCAAAATTTATGACAAAATCTACAACTATAGATTTATCGGTCTGATAATCACTAAAACCTGTAATTAGTTATCATGTATTTTTGTTTCTTTTGTTTTAGGGTCCTATATTAGTTTTCAAAACGTCAAAAGATCGTTGATTTACAGCTGAATTCGGTTACTTGATATCATATTTTTGCCAAAGAAACAATCAAGCAGAATTGACATGAAATCGACACGTTTGAACTTAACGGAAGTAAAAAAAATAAGCCGACATTCCTCAAATATGTTTAATGTGTTACATTGTCATATTTGATAGTATGCAAAAAAATATACTCAAGATTTCAAGATTTTATTACAAAAGGCATAAACATTTTACAATGTCCGTCGCCATAAACAGAATGACGGTTACAAATAGTATAACAATACAATTTATTCTTAGTTCAATGTATATATAATTATATATTTAGTCCACTGTACTCTTATTCGCAGGTGCGAGCTGGCTTGGTGCGGTTTTATTCTGGAACAAGGCTGTTCTTAGTAATAGAAAGAGCACCGAAACATGACGCTATCTGATTTGTACGAGGGGGCGTAGCCCCCGAGTATAAATCAGATTGCCGAGTGTTTTGGTGTTCTTTCTCTTTTGTATCATAGTCAAACATGACAGCACGATCCCTGTTGTCATAATATGAAACCCCAGAAAAAAATAACCAATGAACGAGCATTTGAATATGATAGTTCATGCCCCTTTCCCTTTCTCTGCCGTCACAATAAGTAAACCCCAGCAAAAATGAACCAATCAACGGGCATTATCTGCAGTGCGGGTAACTAGTTACCGCACTGTGCATGTATATGTATACGATTTAACTCGGACACTTTTTCAACAGAAAGGTTCCCAAACTATGATACAAATATAAAATATGTTTTGTTATTCGCATGAGTCAAGCGTCCATTGCATTTTAGATAGATATATTTTAGAATTTATTTCGGTATAGAATACATATACGTTGACATTTAAAACAACATGTACGGAACAAATATATAACATACATGAGAATGAGAACCAATGAAAGCACAAAAATAGAGACTCTTATTTCCATTGTAGTCCCCTGTGTTGGTGGTATGACATAGAGAGACACATTGTGACTTTGTTATATAGTTGAATCATTTAATTGATAAATGGCATTCGAAATGAATGAAAATGATATATTCTGTGTCATTTTATGAAAGTCTAAGTTCTTACACTACTCTTCATACATTATTTAACAATCAGGATATATATTTTTATCAAATACTCTACATAATTTTCTGTTAAAAAGTCACGCTTCATGCGCAATTTCTGTGACTGAAAATTCTTATACATTGTGTACTTCTTGCAATAGGTCAAGGTGAGACATGATATACATGTATATTCTACCTTATACATGTATGATACCGCCTTTTCTTATATGTCACGTGACTTTAATATACAGTTATTTCTCTATAACATACTTCGTGATTTTCATCTACAGTTTCAAGTTTCTCATAAAGAATATACTGTGAAATCCCTTCTGCTAAAGTGTGTTTCATTTACTCCTACGTAACCAGCCAGTTATTTTTTCTTCTTCTTCATCATCATAATACTGCTGCAGTACCAGTATTAGCAGTAGAAGTAGTAGCGGTAAACAAGTAAGTCATTTATTTGTACATCAGTTACGCTTGTAAGCTGACCTATATATTCATACCATATATGAGAATATTAAAAAAATATATTCCAATGTTCTAAATTTTAATCAATGGCTAAATTTTAACAATAACGCTGTTCGAATGTTATCACGTGCGAAATAACAGCGGAGGTTCTCGATTGAAAGATGAATGAATATGTGTTTAGTTAACCGAATTATCGGTTAGGACAGAGAGACAAAGTCGGTGATACTCCAAAAGATGACTATCGTACAATTCCGTCATACCTTTATATAGAAAGAAGAAATACCTATACATAAGTAAGATACAATACACAGTAAAAAAAAGAAAGAAAGAAATCATGATAACCGTAATTAAGTCTTCAAGCGTAATTAACGTCCATCAAAAAGTTCCAAAGAAAGTATGGCGTTAGCTAGCTTTTTACGTTCGAAATGTGATGATGAAAAGAAACGGAGACAATTCAATGCACTTGAATCATTGTCTGGTTAACAACAACAACAACAACAACAACAACAATAACAACAACAACAGCAGCAGCAGCAGAAGCAACAAGAGCAACAGCAGCAGCAGCAACAACAACAACAACAACAAGAGCATCAACAGCACCGTATGACTTAACAATATTGTCATTATATAAATGCATTATTATTCAAGTTTTCAACAAAAAGATTTAATTGCTTTACATGTATCTACTTGCTTTGTATAGACACAGACATTAAATAAATACACTTCTGTCTTTAATAGGTATTCTCAATAGTTTATTAATGTCAGCACAATGAAAGGTTTGTTCTTGTTGCGAGGTTGTGCTGCACCTAATCGTCTGTTTCTATTTGTTTGTATCTTATCGTCTGCACATCGGGCCATGATCAAAAGATATCATGAAATATAACTTCAAACTTCCCACGCTATCATTAGGTTTTGGCCAGGTCTCTCTTTCAATGGCACTGTTGGTTATTTAGCTAAAATATACACCAACGTGTGTGATGTCAGTACAACATAGTCCCTTGTGAACAGTTTTATAGGGGTTTGAGTTATAAAATGGAAATATAATCATTTCTGTTTTTAAGTGACCCAATTGATCATTGTAAAAAATCATATTTTATTTTTAGGCTTTTTTGGTCTTCGGTGAAATTCCTTTGACCAAGAATTTTCCGAGCACACAAAGGGCTAATTATCAGTCCAAATCGATGTCAGAGTAATGGTTCTTGGAAAGAGACCTCTATATATTTAGCTTAAATGTGCACCTACGTGTGTGATTTCACTAGTGAACCAATGTATAGGTTTGAGTTATAAATGGAATCATATTCATGCAGGGACCTGTTTTGTTGAGTGAAAAGATGTTCATCTTCGCGGAAACACCAAAAAGAAATCACGAAAATATGGTAAAAAATAAATCCTCCAATGCAACATTTATTAACTGTAGAAGTACGAGTATTCTATAAGTAACATAAAAATATCATCCCGAGGAGAATAGTGTTACCCGAGGCGCTGACCGAGAGTGACAGCATTTTTACGAAGGATAATATTTTTACTATTACTCACACGCCTGCATGTGTGTTATTAATTCTATTACTTATGTTACTACGATCAAATACTGTAATGATCATAATTTTCAACAATCTGTAACATTAAACTAAGGTTAACTCCCTTTATTCTCAAATCGCATCTTCCCGGCCCTTTCCGTCAAACTTCGGATAAGAACCTCGAACACAATAGTAAGAATACACAGAACGGATTCAAACCTACGCTAAGAAACTATACATGTAAGCAAATAGTAATATAACGCTTGGAGTTGTTGACTAGGTTTTTTTTCAATATATCAAGTAAAAGTTCACCTAAATAAGTAAATTTACAGACATTAAAGTAAACAGTACATTATTGATAAACTTATTATTGTGGTTGTAAGAACCGAAAGTACAAACTGCCTATCAGAAATCTCTATCCTCCATTTTGATAACATGCAACTACGATATCCTACTTTTGAATAATGTTCTAGATATGTGTACCACGTGTCAAGCGCTTTCAGAATCAGCTCCATTTATTTCATTCCTTGACAAGACTTCCCATAGGCAATAACTTCCGCTGCTAACAGCTAACATTTTTACTTTTACTATTCAACCAAAATAGGTTTAATACGCGAGAAACAGTTTAAGTTACAGACAATTAACGTGTCTTGTGCTCATAGTCACTATGATGATTTCCAAACGTAGAGAACTTCGAAATATATTAAGTTTGAATCGAGTAAACAGGTGGCCATTTTTGTTTTTCTGGAAATATACCACTTGATCTCATTTATGACTGTTACTATATGTACCAGTTCATTTTCTTATAAACGTGGTAGGTACACCTGTATAAACAGTAAGAATGACTCATATTGACCAATACGAGATCAACATTTAAAGAAAGTAACGATTAATAAATGTAAATATAAACAAATATTCTAGAATTCAGGCGCATCGCAATATCCGTCCTTTCATCGTGAAATCCGATGAACTTTGATTGAACTTCACAAATAGCATCGTTATTGTTGATAAGAAATGAAGAGTTTCGCATCGTTTATAATAGCAGATTAAAGTATAAATGTATAGCGAATTTTGAGAGAAAAATGTGTCACACTCGATGCTTCTTTAAATTAGATATATGACCACTAAAAATTATAGAATTTAGTTTTTGAAACTCAGTAATGTATAGGTTCATGCATATTCAATTAAAATGATATCTAATTATTTATGCAGTCACAGTCAACCGTGGGTTGGGTTGGAGTGGAGGCATTTTTATGATTTGCAATTGTTTAGGACAAGAATCGCGTGTAATGTGAATTGAAATGTAGGAAGTGACTAGCCGTACCGGCCCGTATAACGTGTCACGTGCGGATAGCCTTTATGTACCGTACGGCATTTTATATGTTATAAGAAAAAGCAATAACAATATGCAAACTTGCGTTTCTAGAAAAAAAAATATAATGAAAACTTAAAGTTTTTAAATGTTGTTGTGTAAATGGCTGTAAATTATGTCCCGAAAAAGGCCGGAGTCGCTTTGTAAACCGATACAATTAATTTATGGGTGATTTTGTGCCATGAATTTATTACTTAAAACAATATTTGTAACAAAAAAGATCATATTTTTAAAATGATATCGGGGAAAATTTATGAATGTTTGAAAAAAAAATAACTACAGAAGGGTAAGACTTCATCTTATCATTATACTCAAAGTGGCAAATTAGAAAATTATTATCTGTTATCACAGATAAAAAACACTAAGAACTGATTCAAAAAAATTATTAATCAAACATGAAAAAGTAAAAAAGAAGATAATTACCCGAGTCTTTATAAACAAGGACGGGTCCTGATGTGAAAGGTCTATGTCGGAGCAATGAAGTCTTCTACACGATGCTATTCTACAACATTTTACCATTGTCTCTTATCTGCTACCATAGTCTCGCGTGTGTCACAGAAAATGATTGATCACCTGTTCACTGTTTCCCTTCAGTGAACTTGAAATCACTGTTCCCTTCAGTAAACTTCAAGCTGACATTAGTTTCACAGTATACAAAATAACGTGTGTCACATGCAACAAAGTGTCAAATAAAGTATTTCAGTATCGAGATTCAGCAATATATTTTATTCCAAATTTTTTATAAAATTATTTCATTCAAAAAAACACATTGACAACTTAAAATGCCACATATTTACGGACTATCCGGTTCTAAGGACAGTTTAATTTTCTGCAAGTGCCATCCCTCATACTTATATTTGGAGAATTTTCGCTTATATCTTTCCTATCATATTAATATTAATATAGTGTTTCAAATCAGAACAGAACAGAATACACTCAAACAACCTTTCAGGCACCGACATTCTTTAAATATTAACCTTGATAAGTGACGTAATTATAACATATTAAAATGTCCGCTTATATGCCGTACACATACTGGTCACAAAGAAAATAAGGTTAAAAGTATAATTATTTTAATCAAGAAGTTCCTTAAACTCCCAAGTACTTAAATAGTATTTTCACTAGTATATTCATATAAAATAAAATAGCTAAGGTATTCCAGTTCGTAACACCCGTCCTTTCATCACTGATAATTGCATTAGTATCATTTATTGATCTCCTATGTTTTTATTAATTTTTTGTACGCCGGAGACTTCAGCGCATCTAATCCGATATTATTCTAATATCTGCCGACAGGTCTTAAAGCATATCCTTTTAATGATCACAAATAAATGCAATTATTCCAAATATTCTTAAAAGAAATCCAATCAGCAATAATTCACGCAAAGACGTCCATAAAATAGCCATTCGTATTGTTTTTTCTTTGCGAAGTTTGTCTAATCTTAAATTTATGAGCCGTAAAAAATCTATAGATTTGTTTGTTATGAAATCTTTAAACATACATGGAACAAATAACCAACTGAGTGTCGCAAAATAAATCTTCATGTTCAGATATGCTTTTTGGGCCAGTTGCCAAACTTTGGTCTACTTTTGACATAGGATACTTTAACTCTAGTTATATGCATTTTTATTCATTTTAAATCGAAACTACGAAAGCGCGCTTGGTTAAGAAAATGTACTTTTAAATTCAAATACACACGGGGATAAGGTTTCTGTTACTCAAATCATTTATATAAAAGTCGGAGTGTGTAAAATGTCAGTATGCAATTTTAATGAACACTTAAAGTTTAATACATCAATTATATATTACGTAAATTGAAAGAATATCTATTTGAGCCGCGTCACAATAAAACCAACGTTATGCGTTTGCGACCAGCATGGATCCAGACCAGCCTGCGCATCCGCGCAGTCTGATCAGGATCCATGCTGTTCGCTATCAATTTCCCTACTTTTAAAAAAAGAAATAGGGTTAGTAAGCGAACAGCATGGTTCCTGATCAGACTGCGCGGATACGCAGGCTGGTCTGGATCCATGCTGGTCGCAAACGCATAACGTTGGTTTTATTGTGACGCGGCTCAAATAGATATTCTTTCAATTTACGTAATATATAATTGATGTATTAAACTTAAAGTGTTCATTAAAATTGCATGCAAAAACTACAATAATACATCATTTAATAGTTCGTATTAATTCAGAGATAAGATATGTGCAAGTCTTTGGTTCTTAGACGCTCATATGATTGTATATGCTACGGAAAGTGGCGGACTTTGCCGGAGTTTCGCGAACAAATGCTCTTCAGACGGATACATTATTAAAGACGCAAGTTAAGCACGCTTTGTTCGTGTAACATTCATAATTTAAAAGATCGATTCAACAATTGCATGTTTTTCATTAAATCTATGACAGGTCGATCATCATTTTGTACTACCTTGAAAACAATTCCCTCATGTATAGGAATAACTAATTCGCTCTTTTTGATCTCTATGAAATAATCAATACATATATGCATAAATGATACATCTTAAAAGGATTCTTGATTACATACATGTACTAAAACTATAATCTATTTATATTCTGTATTTGTATAGATCAATATAAAATATATAGAGGACATTCAAGTTTTTTTCTATAAATACAGGATTTATTTTTATCAAGTGGTATGAAAATTAATATTCCATGAGTGACGGTAGTTACGAGGGAAATATGACAATTTTCATGCCACAAGATGAAAATAAATCCTGTATTTATAGAAAAAAACTTGAATTTTCTGTTTATTATATACAATACAATTTTTTTTTACATTAAATTTGTTAGACTTCCCTTTAAGCTTTATGTACTGGCTGAATTTAGAGAAAATAATGCAGTCCAGCAAGACATTAGTGAAAATACGGAAAATACGTTTCACGGCAGTGAAAAATAAATCTTTACGGAAAAAAGACGTTTTTTGTGCCATCAATATTTCTCACTATTTCATTGATAAGTATATAAATACTACGTATATTCGGTATAAACTAATAACTTCTGACTGTTGTTTTGATCTGTAACTGTGCGATCCTAATTTGACTGAAGTTCAGCCTAGCGGTTATTAGCAGCTGATTTTATTCAGATTGTCTTACATCCGCACTTTCAGCAATATTGTAGCATTTAGTATGATAAGTGAAGTTTCTTATGCAATCTGCATGTTTTATTGCGAGTCGAAATCTGTCAAAAAAGTCAAAAGTTATTACTTTGTTATTACTTTGTTAATGCCCTCACCGCTGTGGGTTCGAATCCCGACAGGAACTTTGGATTCTTTCATGTGAGGAAGCTATCCAGCTAGCTAACGGAACGTCGGTGGTTCTACTCAGGTGCCCGTTCATGCCTGAAATAATGCACGGAATGGCACCTGAGGTCTTCCTCCACCAGCAAAGCTGGAACGTCGCCACATGACCTATAATGTGTCGGTGTGGCGAAAACCCCAATTAAAACAAAACAAACAAACAAAACTTTGTTCATGTTATTGCTTTGTTATTACTTTGTAAATGTACCACTAAAGCTGGAAAGACGGGGCGAAAAAAAATGAAGCAGGAATGCAAGGGGAGAGATCTGCCATAGTTTCGTCTTCAGTGTGACGGACGGGACCGAAAGTAAAATGGTCAGTAGTCTGCAAAAACAAATTGACGTTCTGTTTAACATTTACAATTAAATGTATCTAAAAAATATTAAAGGAGGCGAAATCAGTTGTATAATTGGATATACCCATTTTCCGTACGCCGAAGCGTAACAGCTGCGTAACACGTGAACTGTTGAAAGTTTGAGTGCACTTTAAAAAAAAACTTTAATAGGTTGTCAAAGGTATTTGTATGTCAGTTAAACTCGTATTGTAAAGCTTCTGATAATGTCAATTTAATTATGATGATATGTGTGCAAATACTTTTAAAGAGTCGAATAACGATGTGGCCTTGGATAATAAAAGATAATAATAAACAAACCCACGTTCCTTGGTGAGGAGCGTATAAAATTTAAACAAATAAAGATTTATAATACACCGTCGGTATCAAAGGAAGCTATTAAACCATTTATTTGGGTATTGGAAATGTTAAAGTACTTTAAATTTGTTTTGTGAAGTCACAGACAAAATTGCACAATGACAAAATCTTTCAACAAGATTACGTAGCTTTATGATATACCGTGTCATTAAAAAGACATGGGAGAGTGAAACAAGAACTTGTGATCTCAAATATTGATAAATAAAATAAACTTTATACGAAACGAAAAGTGCCGTTAAAATAATACTTTGCATGTAAATATACACATGGGGACACCAATCAATCATAAAGCATTCAAACTCCTACGCAGTGGCCCCCCTTGGCTTCGCTGCACATACTACTTCCATGACATCATTTGTGTATAAATATCTGCCTCCGATTCAGTAACAACATCTTCTTTTAAATACACCTTTAAAAAATGAAACATTCTGAAAGTTTAGTTTAACTTTTCGAAGAATTATTTAACATCATTTTCATCGTGAAAATTCTTTACAAAACAGAACTTTGGGGTGGGGGGTAACAATCGTTAATTCATTTTGGACACGAGCAGATAATTTCTTGCCCTATATTTCCAACAAATGACAATGTTTGCCTTAATTTTAATACTAATTGTGAGTAGCCGACAATGACGTTAAACAAGTAAAAATGGCCCTCTTACTGAGAGATAACCCAAAAGAGGATAGTGACCCCAATTTTTTCCAATTATGATTTTCTTTAATCGTGCAAAGTTTGTAAAAAATCTGTTCACCGGTAAAAAAATAAGTTCCGCTGATGCTGTGAAATATACGCACGATGGCAAATTCTTAAGTAAAATCACGTAAAGAGACTGATAATAGCTAATCCATTGTTTACCATGGCACATATAATGATTTTTTTTCGTTCAAAAAAAATATACATATACGTACTAGAAGACAATTGGCTTAATTTCATTGACATACTAAAAAAATTCAAAACTCAATTACTTAAATGGGACTTATCAAATTCAAACTCGCTTTATAAGGATTTAAAACAAAGTAAACTTGGAATACTTTGTAAATATTATTCGTTAACACTGTAGTATAAATGATCCATACATATGATAATCTTCCACAGGTAAAATCACATAACCTTTAAGCAAAAAAATAATAATTTCACAGCTCTAAAAAATGGATAATCTAAGAAAACAATAATTATACAAAACATTTTGCATAACTGTATCAATAATAAATTGATTGCAAAGGAAATGAAACTTGATATGTGTTTTGTCGAAACATATTTGTATTCCAACTATAAACAAAATCACTGAAATCCTTCAAAAGTTATCAAAAGTTATCTTGCGAAAAACTTATAATTACATAGAACATTTCTTAAGAAGGGGAATTACTCTGTCAATAATAAGTTGATTGCAGCTGAAATGGAACATAACCTTTGTTTTGATATAACATACCTACATCTTAAATATAATCACAATCATTGGAATCCTTCAAAAGGGACCATGCCAATACTTTTACCTAACAAATTGTTTAAATAGGGGGAGGGGGCATAACTTTATCATTGGTGGTTTGATTGCAGCGAAAATCGAACTTGACCTGTGTTCTGATATGACATACTTAAATGCCAAATATAAACACAAGCAATGAAAGCCTTCAAAAGTTATCCTATGGAACAAATAATTTCACAGAACATTTGTTTAAAAGGGGCATAACTCTAGCAATATGAGTTGATTGCTGCCAAAATCGAAGCTAACCTGTTTTTATATAACATACTATGTACTTACATGCCAAATATAGACACATTGGAAAGTTATTCTGCGGAAACCAATTGTCTACAAACAGATGGTCTGAAGTTCTATTAAGAGAGTATTTATTTTGGCAACTCAATTGTTATTCCAACTGCTCGTTTAGCCACAATCAAAAAAGAAAAATAGCAACATATAAGTTTACGGAATAAATGACATCAACGAGAACGTACAGTTACCTCTTGTTCCTGTAACTTAAAATGTATCCTCTCGTAAGTGTATGCGGACGGACAGACGGACGAACAACAACATACCATAATACGTCCCAAAAATTCTTGGGGCGTATTAAAATGTAGACACTATAGGAAATGTCTTAAGGTACATGTATTTTATGTCTCCTTTTTAAAAATGCAGAGACAACAGTTTGAAACGACGACGACAGTTCTACTATTTGGATGTAACACAGGGGTTTTATTCTTTGATGCATAGTAAAGTGTATGCCCGAATCGTTTTCAAAATAAAATAAAAGAAAAAAAATAATTCGAAATTAAATTTGTATCGATATGCTTGATTTTATCTTGGCTTCAAAGTGACCCCTAAAAAGAGTTTAAAAAAACTCATTTTCAGGGACAGATCGCTCAAAAAGCAGGATTGGATTGTGGCCCCCATGTTTTCATCACTTTGTTTATAATTTTCTTTAATCGTGCAAAGTTTATGAACATTTTGTTCGCTAGTTAATTTTTCCTTCTTTACCTAAGTAAAATGAAGAAACTTGTCTGGGAAGTGCCTTTAGGACAGAGCCAATATGACAAACATATGTTTAAGAAAATGATTGGTTGATTGGGTTTCACGTCACACCGACACATCGTGTATGTTTTATGGCGGCGTTCCAGTTTTTACTGGTGGAGGAAGACGTCACATGCCTTTCCGTGCATTATTTCAGGCACGAACGGGTACCTGAGTAGAACACCGACGTCCCGTAAGCTAGCTGGATAGCAAGGAGGGGCAAGTGGTTCGAAGTCAACGACCTTAACCACTCGGCCACGTTAAAAAAAATAAAATGCTTTAAAAGCAGAATATTTTATTATCAAAGAAACAGAAACTGAACAAGGATGAATCTGCAAAAGGGGGAAATATTAACAAACATATTTTTCAGACCATGAGACTTTATCGCTCACAGTGTTGAATAAATGTTATGCTTTTGGTTATCAAAAAAGTTGCTATCTATGATACGAAAGGTTTCACTATGCTTATCTGAGACAGAAATATAATTATGACTAGTAGACAGTAACGAATAGTATTCCTGTATATAATATCTACATGGTAATACATTATTATATTAATATGTTATTTTGGTTTTGGAGTGATATATGTGGATATATTACCTGTTAAGATTTTATATCACCCGAGCCGTTAGGCGAGGGTGATATTTTATCTTGGCAGGTAATATATCCACATATATCACTCCAAAACCAAAATAATAATTTTATTACCCTTCCCCTGCCGAGTTTAGACGATTTTTTAAAAAATCATTGCTGTTTCAAATGAAACGTCGAAATAAGATTCCCTTTAGGGTACCTCTTCGTCACAACATGACGTCACATAAATACATGACGTATTTTTCCCGTACCTAACGAATGTAAACAAGAGAAAAGGAGTAGTCTATTGAACGCACTTTTTTTGTAATTAATATCAAGCTTTCACAAGGTCATATTTGTTTTCGATACTGATGGTAATATGTATCATTACTCTACTTTGGTAAATATTTATCATTTGACAGTTAAAAAGTGGTTTTAAATCGGAATTTACACCGCGTAAAATCGAACCGTACGCGCATCACCTCCGCGCATGTTGTTTACAACGTTGGGTACCCAACGGGGAAATTTAGTGTGTATATTACCCGTCTGGCTCGGTTATATCAATTTCTTTCGGGTGATCAATATCCAATCAAAAATGCGGAAAAAATCTGGAAAGGGTAATAAAATTCTATATTTTGTAAATACTGTGAAATCCGATGACAATCATGCGTCGTCTGATGATGATGATTATGATAATCAATAAAATAGACGCTTGTTGCGTACAGGACAAAGAAAGCGCCTATTTGAACGGATTTTACTCATGTCGAAAAAAACATTTGTGACTTCCGGTCTAGACACTGGATATGTGTATAATAATGTTATCCATTTTAAGTCACTATTTTGTTGTCTGCTTAACACTGACAATCTTGGTAGACAAACTTTGCATTTATGCTTAGTTTGTCTTATATAGCACCAACTACTTGTACTATAAGAATCAGACAAAAATTAATCGACCAATTTTATGTCGACATTAAAAAGTAAGCACCTAAAGCTAAAAGAAAATTTTGCTATTTTATGCCCTTATTGTTTGACACAGTAAACAAAATGGCGGACGTTTTTACAACTTGTTACACATTGTAAGTAAAACTAACATTTGAGTTTTCGTTTCGGCAACAAATCGGATTTCATAGAGGACAAATCGTTGCATCTTTGTTTTGCTGAGGAGCGATCGGCGTAAATATAATTTATTCTTGTTTTGGTTTGCGGTGACCCACATTTCTTTTGTGATATGGCTGGAAAATGTGGGGTTGATCTAGAGTTATTAACAGAACTGTTTAAAGGGCTGAAAAGTCGAGATTGTTCTAAAAGTTTCGCAACTTGTGAGTAAGGCGAAATATTACTATGTGCACTTTGACAACGAATGTGATTTTTCCTATCACTACTAGCCGAAACAGTTTTCCTTGCTCCACCATGAACAACAGGCAATCCAGTTAGAACAGATTGGTCTGATAGACTTTCTGTGGAATAATTTCTGAACTGAGGAGCCGATTGTGGATGGCGCCATTTTCTACTTTCAAAATTGTAACTTCCAACCGTTTCAATGTAATTGTTTTGATACATAGGATAATCTGGAGAGTCCATTCGATTGAATTGATCCGATTTAGAAGCAATAAACGCTTTTTTCAAGTGATATGCGCGAGTTGACCGGATGCTGACGTGTTCTTTCATACTTGGCACGTGGTTAAAGAAATGTCTCTGCGGTGATACTGGTGACATTGTCTCGTACCCTTCATCCGGTCCGAACACTTGACTGATATCATCATGTATGATATTTAAATCTGAACACGTGGGCTTTGTTTTAACCGTTTGAACACTTTCATTCTCCACCGCACCGGTTGCAGCACCAGTAGCAATTCCTTTCCGTCTCTTTTGCATCATTTCTAAATTTTCTAATTCGATCTCTCTTTGCCGTTGTTTATACTGTTCTGTTACTACTTTTTGTAACTTTTTAGCCTCTTCCGGTTCAATTAGAAACTCCTCGTGTATCGCCTCATCTAACGCAGGTACCGTAAACGGAGCTATTGGTTGTCGTAAACGAGGTGCACGCGGTTTAGGTTTCACAAACGGAAACAAATTGTTCATTTTAAAATCGAGCAGTTCCACCAGGTCCTCCATGCCTAAATCGAAGGCCATTTGTCGAGCTGATGTTCTATGAACACACATTATTCCATTTTTGTTAACATCCTGCAAAATAACATTTGTAATTTCAGTTAGATTAAAGTAAACTACTCTTTTTAGAAATTACGGTTCCTAAAGAAAGAAAAATAATTGTTCTCTAATTATGTAATTAATGTTCTAGGTAGATTCAAGTATAAATTCTGTTTACAATATATTTGCACAAAAACTTCGTGTTGAGGATTATGTATATATTTTAGTAAATTTTATTAAGTTCTTAATTAAGGAATATACGTTTAATGTTTGATGAATATCATGTATATTTTACATACCACAAGTTTTCTTTCATACTGCCAGTCAATGCCGTTATCTATCAAGAACTCACACATTTCTTGCTGTTGTGTCCTCACCGCTACCATCAACAAATTCTCACCATACTGGAGTAGATAAAAAAAGGTTTAAAAATCAGCATTTTACATAAATAAAGTGCAAAGAAATTAAACTGTTGCTCTTTCAGATAAGTAAAACTCCCGTTTCAATCAAAGCTGTTGTAACGTCAATTGAAATTATATCTTTTTCTTACAAATTTTGGCGGAGTTGCATTATATTTCAGTGCAAATTGCTAGAGGTAAGAATGACAACTCTTTCTTCTCAAATGTCTCAGTCGTGACAAATTAGTCACCCCTAAATAATTTTTACCGTTAATTCAAAAGCTAAATATCAACATATCGACGTTATAAATAATATACGGGGCAACAGACTAACATCCATACAATGTATTTGTAAACGTTAACAGCGCAGACGACAAAATGCCAATCGATTACAGGGATCTCCCTGGGAGACGCACGCTTATAGAAAAGATATCAGTGATCTAAACAGGCAATCAATGTTTGAAAATTGAAAAAATAACATGCAGACATTATCAGATAAATGTTTTATTTAAAGGCTCAAAAGCTTAATAAACATGAAATTTGATGCTCTGACATAGATCAACTAGTGCACTTGAAATGGAAAAATATGCAAAAGATAATAAAGAAGTAAACTGATTCGTGGCTAGATTTGAATTGAATGATCTGAATTTTTTCTAGTTATTAATACAAATTTACATCAAACAGAACACAAATCTCAGGGGAAATAATGTCCAGTCCTGAAATGACAAGTTTTTCAACGATAACTAGTGTGTGTTTCAATAACTTTATTGTTGACGTTAACAATACACTTACCCAAGTCATTCCCATATCAGCGTTCTTCTTTTCTAGGAGTTTCTCTAAAAGTAGAATATCTCCTTTCCTAACTGCCTTTACCACAGCCTAAATGAACGGAAAATAAAAGTTTTAATCTCTAACAAAAACGGGGTCATATTTAAGAGAATTCATAAACGACACATCAGGTTAAGATGAAAACTTGATGAGCATTTAAACTTATGTACAACCTGAAATCTTGTTATCAAGATTATATATACTTTATTGAATCAGCAAAATGAAAGTAAAAATCTGAAATACAACAGTCGTGTTCATCATCCTCAATTATATCATCCTCTTGTATGAAAATATCATACTTTCTATATATAATAACAATACAATAGACAAAAAGACGAAACGTCTATAAGCAATTGATCAATTGTGTTTTTCCAAAAGTACTAAAGTACTGAAAGGAGGCGTTTTGCAAATATTGAAAGATTATTTATTTACTCTTTCTAGTTCTCACTTGAAGAATCATTTCCTCGGACGGAAAAAGTCCGTTAGAACTCATTCAAAAGAGCTCTGGTCCCATCTCTCACGGTAAATATGTCATGCTATGCTACTGTACTGATCAAGGGAATTTATTTTCTTTAGATCGTTTATCTATTCTGGCTTGACAAAGGATTTAGTGTATAAACAAATTAGTATTTTTATGAAACGCACGCAAATTAAAAAAGGATTCACGTGTGTATCTTTGAAAAACAAAGATAGCTTTATACATATTCTTGGACGTTTTATTTGTTCTGATGACATCGAACTATTTTGATGCGTACATATATTGTTGTTTTTGGGCATATGCAAGAAGAAATGACTTCAAAAAATGGTTGCTCTGACGTTTGGTAAGAACTTTTAAAATGTGATTTCCAAAAGAGTACCTGTTTTTGTTTGAATGTCATCTCGCAACAGTCGTGTTCATCATCCTCACTTATATCATCGTCAGCATCGTCAACATTGTTGACATCTTGTGCTTCATTAACTGGCTCTTCTGCATCGTCCTCAGGTTTCACCTCAACCAAATCACCATCGTCATTAAACATCACTTCAATCAAATTATCCTCGTCTTCAAAGAGAACTTCTTTCGTGCGTTCATGAGGTCCTTGTGGAACATCTTCCATACTTTTATCATTGATCATATCACTTATTGGTTTTTCTACAACATCGTCTTGATTTTGTACTACCATTTCCGAATCTTCATCAATACCATTGACGTCCTCTTCACCAATTTCCTGTAAGAATATATCACCGAATTCCATCTTAATTCAAATATGTTCTTTAATTATGAAGATAAAAAGAAATCATATGACGTCATAATAGCACCATTATTATTATATACCATAGTTGTGTCGTGAAATGTAAAAATTCTTGTAAAAATCCAAAAGAACTAATAATATCCTATGTAATGTTCATTTTTCAACTGTTTTGATGATTTCACACTGACAGACTTTAAAGATGCTTTCCGCTTTTTCAAAGATCTTTCAATAGATTCAACTTATTACTTTTCTAATTTAAAAAGCGGCAATGAAAATTTCCGGTTAGACTGGGTTTCAGCGTACGATGTACACGCAATTTAGCGTAACACTCTTACTAACAAAATAGAGCAATCCAATTAAATTTTATATCATTTCTTTTATTTGGGATTAATTTCAGTGAATCATGTTTGGAGACTAATCTTTTAATTCTTTAATCCTAGCACAAGTATGTAGTAATAAACTTTGGCAAATATTCACAGGGGATTTAAGTATGATGATTGACACCTTGGATACTTATGGTATATTAACTCTCAGACAAAGGTTAAATCGCGGGAAAATGTCGACATATATGAGTGCACTTTTCTGACTATGATCCACTTGAAAGGATTGTTAGAAATGTATATGAAATACAGCAACGCCTGCCTTGTGCGACCATTTTTATTTGTTTGGGTCGTCAGACCAAACAAATAATGGTAGCGAAATTTTAGACTCTAATGCTGTTAATTGCAAGTGCCGAAAGTAGTCCGCTTTTTTGAAGCGGTTACTTCCCTTTATATGTAAACTAACGCCGAAAAATTTCAGGGGAGATCACTGCGTAAAGATGGTCAAATGACAGGCGCATTAATTTTCAAGCAAAATAATTCCCGAATGGTCGAAGATTTCTAATATTGTTTTATATTCTTTATAGATAAACATGCTTATAGTAAGCTCCATGATTATTTACATCCGTGTTAAACAACAGTTAGCGTCGTTACAAACCCTAATCTAGAATGATATAGTTTTCTTCAGGCTGTTAACATATAAATTCACCGTGGCCGAGGGGTTTGCGCGCTCGCTTAGGAAGCGAAAGGTCTGGAGTTCAAATCCCAGTTAAGGCAACTCATTTTTTTTCAAATTGTTTAAGTCAAATAAACATTAGATTGAATATCAGTGTTTACATAAGTCTTATAGCCAATTTACTACAATTAAAACGCTGGAAAGCATTGGTGGCACTTTACAAAAACAAATTGGTTTATAATCTCACAACCTTCACCTTTCTGACATTCTGAGACCAAAACAAATTCAGCGCCTTCTGTGCTTTGATTATCCTATTAACCGTTAGCCTGTTGTAAGCGATCACAATAACTTGTGCAAACAGCTTACATCTGCATACCTCCAGATGAGATGGCATATTTCAAGAAAATCAAACTTGAGAAAAATGTATATACTAAGAGTTAAGAAAAGTAAAATTATTTAAGATTCAAGTAAATAATTTACATGTTATGTGTGAATTTCAGTATTAATCACCATACTTCTACTGCGTGACTTGTGCAAGAAGAGCAATTTTTACATATTTTGACCTTTTTTGGAGGCAATTTAGGTGAATTGTAAATACCGTTTGCATGTGTTAATGACTTTTTTACTTTTAAATACATTTTTAATTTTTTTTCCAGGTTATTAGCACGAATCTTGAGGCATGCTGCTTTATTAGCCAATCAAATGCCGAGTACATTGACGAAGTGGATAAAATTAAAGACATTAAGCAAACGACATTCTTAGCAGACGACAATTTTCCTCCGGATGCAAATGATTAAAAAGTGATTCCTATATTAAGGTGGTTTTATCATATTTTAACAATGATCTTACTTATTATTTGCCGTAAGTTTTTCGGTTTTCAGAAAAGAAATATGAACACTGTTCATTGCAGTGAGTTTGATAGATCACATTTTAACCTTATTGTACGAGGGCTGCCCTAGTATTTCATGATCAATCACACAAAAAAATTGAGCTGCACCGTCCGGGAATGGAACCGGGGTTGTCCGCTTAAAGTCGTACACTACCACTTGAGCTAACCGGGCGATGCAAAACACTTTTAGTAATTATCACGACTGCATTTATGATATCATTTCATTTAATTTCTACAGAGCGAATTATTACTCATATAAGTAATCGACTATGAATAAAAATTAAATGGATATAGATCTAATTTTTTAGAAAAACTGGGATACTCATTTGAAAAAAAAACAACAATTTTCATAATTGTGCATGTATATTGTGTGACTTCACCTGAGGATGTTCTATCAAATACAGTTTTGACCATCTAACAAAAATCATTCTTGCATTAATCGTGTATTGTTTCCGTGCTTTGTGTCTCTTTCCACGCTTTTTTTTTCTCTACGCGTTTGACCCCGAACCTAATGTTAAAGGACAATGGCAGTAATGTCAGGGCCTTTATATTCTACTATTCTAAAAGAATGTGACTGTGGTGTTATCTCAAACCATATTTGGTCGTTATCTTGTGGCCACCGTGTGCTTACCACAATATAGTGATAAGATACGATTAATCGATTTAATATCGATGCCATTCCTGATCTGTACAATCCCTGTGGATACAATGCTATCAATTTGCAATCACTAGTTAACACATTATTGGCAATTTACCACACGGGGGGAAATAATGCACGGAGTACGGTGTAAATAATGGGTAAATAAAATAACGACTATAACATGATACGACCAAAGTTACAGTCTAGTAATCCGCAGTCAAATTATGTTAAATATATCTTATTTCAAACGGTTCTACAATCTGTTTTGGACTCAAAGGTTCTGAATATATGGATGTCCGTTTGATAATTTCCACAAGAAAATACATGGTTGTCTAGTAATAGAAATAAGAAACATCATCATCATCATCGTCATCATCATCATCATCATCATCATCATTATCAGCAGCAGCAGCAGCAGCAGCAGCAGCAGCATTATCATTATTATTATCATTATTATTATTTTTTTTTTTTATCATTATTATTATTATTATTATTATTGTTACATGTTTGTAATCGTATTATTATTGGTGTTGTCATCATCATCATCGTCGTCCTCTATATGTAATATGCATGTATATGTAATTTGTATAGTATGTCCTGTAATGGCAACCAAACCTATGTGGCCCACTCAAAATACAATGATTAAAAGCCAAAACAATTTTTACATAAATTATAATTTTACCTCACGTGAACCATTACGTTGTTCTGCATTGGCCCCTGCAACATGATGTATTGGTTCAACGTTGTTAACCCGGAAACCATCTTCAATAATAAGCTCATGGTCCTCGTGTATAGTCTGCAAAGCTGTCTCTTCAAATGGGTCAGTAAGACCTGGCGCCATTTGGTTGTTGTTCTTGTCACTTAACTCTCGATCTGTATCATAAAAACGCATGCATTTTAACATTTTCAAATGAGACAAAAACAAATGATTTTTTTTTCGTCAAAATTGTTTGAATAGTGTTCATATTAGTGAATGGCATACAATGTAAATGCACATGCATACAAGAGCCATACATTTCGCGGTATCAGTTCTGTTCTTGAAGGTAATATTGATAGAAACAACAGATTTTGTTCACTTATTGAACTAAACAAACGCTGATATCGTGATGAGTTTGTGTTGTTGTTGTTGTTGCTTTGGTGGTGGTGGTGGTGGTGGTGGTGGTAGTTGTGGCGACGGTAGTGGTGATCAAATTATTGTTTGAATCCTCTTTTGTTTTGTTTTTTTTTGTTTTTTTTTTGTTATGTTTTTAATTACAAAGAAAAAATAACAATTATATGGAAGGTAGCGTTAATAAATGTAAAAGAAAATTAGTTGAAATATAATAGTCTCACCTGAATTTACTCTATCCAATTCTGCTTTAACATAAGCATCATCGCTATCTAGTCCAGGATAAGTTTGTTCATTTATTCTAAAATGTTCTTCATTACCGTCAAAGCCGTTTACATCAGCTATTTCTTCTGGATCTGCTTTAGATCGTAGAAGTTTGTCTAGCAGGTAACTATCATATCCAGCCCCGTTATCTTTATCTGGTATACGTCCATTTTGACCTGGGAACAAATGTTTTCTTATATCTCTATCACGGTCATTCTCCTCATGTTCCTGTACTTTCACATTAATACTGTCCTTTGTATATATTTCATTAATAAGAAGAGCTTCTTGTAACACGTTTTCAGCCAAAAGTCCGGAGAAGTTTATCACAGCTTTACTTATTTTGCTATCTATATCTATTCTGTGATCAGACGTTTCATTTCTTTCAGCATCTATTCCAACTTGAGCATTCAAATTTTCCGTAACATGATTTTGATCACATTTTTCAACATTTTGTTCATCAATACGTTCATCTTGGTCGTTCTTGTTTCCATTAGTATTTTCACTTTCATCCGCTTTATCATTTACAGCTATATTTTCACTAATGTTTTCTTTATTTTCACCAATGCTTTCGGCTAGAATATCACTGTTCTCAGCTATTATTTTACCGTCACAATTGTATGAGTCTTTCTTTGTATTACTAATTTCTTTATATTTTTCTTCTCCTTCCAGACTTTCATCGTCTATCTCCTCAAAAATGTCTTCTTCAATAACACTGTCAGAACTCATTGTTGCTTTTATACGGAAACTTTCACCGCGTGCTCTATCGACGTATTTGATCTTTACCTTTCCATTTAAAATTCTCTAGATCCATTTATAGATCTAGCGTTACACAGTAACGTTGTCGCAGGATTCCACTTATACACGTGAACCTGCAATTGTCTAAAGCTCCAAACGATTTTTATCAACTTAATTTTCAAACTGCGTTTTCTCTATAGCAATTTCAGTATTTTTTGTTCTGCGTTTCGGATAAGCTTATTGAAAAAGTTCCAATCGATGTTTTCATTAACATTTCATTTGCACTTACCGTGCTTTATTTCGTGTTTAGAAGTCAGTCTCCTCTGGTGTATTAAGATTAATAAACTTCGGTTCTTTGACGTTTTAATCTTCTAACATTGTTCCATTATATAATCTGCAAACTGGCCGTAATTCCATTTATCAAATTAATAATTTATATATGAACTCAGCATATTTATTCCTCTATAATTTAAATGGCTTTTTTTGTACAGCCTGTTTACTTGTATACATAAACTTTATCTCTACAGTATCTTTGTTCAATTTATTAATAATTCCCACGCTGCTATGTCGTAGCTATTTGTATTCCATAAGTTCGAACTAAACATGGATTTTATTTTGATAAAATTTATATCTCCGTATAAATCCTATAAAATCTTCAAACGTGACGATTCTGAAAATATAGAAAAAATGTCATATGTAATATCAAACATAACACAAATACCCAATATAATGTCACGGTCGGTCATTTGTATAAATATTAAAAGTTTCTCTATGCTCATATTATAACATGTTAAATAGTTAAGCTCTTTGCAGACGTCATTTTCTTTAACAAAAAGAGCTTTATATAATCGTATCAAACAACCAACCGACTTTATTTAAATCTTTAACTTAATATTATTTACAACAAACGGGACATAACAGCATAGTAATCCGCTCATTTAATTTCTAAAACTTAAGAGTTAAACATTCGCACCTTTTTGCATACTTTTTTAATCAAATCTTTAAAGGAGCATGCCTCAATATTTATACTAATTTTCATGGAAATTTTAAAAATGGATTTACAAGTGAAAATAATGTAAAGTAAACAAAGAAAGTAATTTACACATTGCAAACGGCATTTCAATCCACGTAAATGACCAAATATGTCAAAATATGCAAAAGTAGCTCTTACTGCGTTAGTCACGCAGTAGAAATAGCGTTAGTCAAGCACTAGAAATGTGGTGATAAATACTTCAAAACCAGTCATTAATAGTACATAACATGTAAATTATTACTTTGTTTTCAACCCTTTTACTTTTCTTAAAGACTTTTTACATTTTACTCAAGTTTATTTGATGAAATAATATGGCTCATCTGGAGGCATGCAGCTTTAACTTTTTTTAATACGCCGAGCTTTACAAAAATTTAATTCAATTTACGTAAAAATATCTCTCTTTTTAACATGGCTTAAGCGTTTAAGTAAATAATAATTAAAATATTACCATATGAAAAGAGAACGATTTTTCGTAGAATAAAACATTTTTATATCGAACTCTTCAAGTGGGGTTGATTTTTTTTAGGTATTTAAATGCATGAAATATGATAAATATTTGAATAAATGGTTTTGGCATTTAATATTAGCAAATGTTGATTAAATAGTAATTAAATAAATTAAAAATAGTTTAATCAATACGTGTGAACTTTTACAATTTAAATCAATATTTATTTTTATTTGACTTGTATACATAAATTTGGCTCAATAGTTTAAAAGAAACTAAATTTAATATAAAGATAAACGTCAAAATTAATGTCGTGAAACTTGGGTTTTGTTCGGCAATTTTGACGAACTTACCACGCAACAACAAAACAACATATAGCTGTATAAATGTTTAGTACATCGCTTTTTAATTAGATGAAAATAGATTTTATTAGTCTATTTGTGTTTTTAGTTAACCTCATCATAATCTTTGGAAAGGTTCTTTTTTAAAACAAAGTCAAATTTTGATGCTGTTAATGGCCATTCGTAAGCGTAAATTCATTTTTCATTTACGGGTTACAGGCAAAAATACCAGAACATCAAAAATATACAAAATATTACACATGCGTTAATAAAAAGAAAGTTTACACGTTATATGTTGAACGTAGAAAGAAAAGAACGGAACCTTAACCCGAATCTTTTGATAATGCATTAAAGACAAAGGTTAGTACAATTAATTATTGAAAGTGCACTAACTAATTGGTAACTTTGAAAAAGATCTCTTATTTTTAGTCCTACACGGTACATTAAACAATCTCGTGATTAGTCTAAATTAACTTTTTGACACAAACGAGTCTATTTACTCTTATTTCTTTAATTTACCACTTTTAATAATACACATTTGATCTTTTGTAGCGAAAATAAACAAGAAAACAACATTTTCCATTCGCGTGCTGACTGGAAAAAACGGCGCATAAATCAGTCCTAAGATTTAAATAACTTCTTTCAACAAGTCAAGATTATTCCCCGATTTGAAAAAAAACACTTGAGTTTTTAAAGCAATGTCTATTTGTTAAGTTGAAAGCTACGCATCTAGCAAAAATAAGTTAAGTCCCAATTTACCACCTGGGTCGTCTAAAATTCAAATGATAAAATATATCTTAAAATGTACCAAAGATTGGCCTGTTTTGAAATTAAAATGTTATTGAGTAAAATCATTAAAATTCATTCTTGAGAGTTCTTCAATATTATTAGAAAGATTTGTATTACAATAACAGGTCGACTTTGCAGAGGTCTTTATTCAATATTCAAAATACTTTTTTCTGTACTGAAGGGATTTTAAATGAATTGTCTGTATGTAAAGCCTCTGTTTACTTTGAAAAAAACTGTCGTTGTCGTCTGCTTCCAAAATAAAAATGAAAAAATGAAATGACGGTTTACGATAAGCAGACGATGGTCATGTACTTCCGGTAATTGCCGTTAACATTCGATTTTTAAATTATCACTTCATTTAAAAAAAAGGGTGTTTTTGTTGTTGTTTTAGGTTCAATGATGTGCATTGAAGAAATACAGTTTAAGACTCTAAACCTTTAACCTACCTACAGATGAGACCAATGCAAACCAAGACCAGCCGTCTGATCATGGTCATGTGACAAAATATGTAAAAATAGCTCTTACTCCGGACATACGGGGATACAAGTAGTAAAATGAAATTCTGTCCTTTTCTGCATGTAGAATGCAAAATGCAAAATGTTATATGGATTTTGAATATTTATTCTTTTTTCAAACTCTACTGAACATAAGTCTATTTTTTTCTAATTTTTATTTATTAATTTATTTTTTAATTTTAAAATGTTGTTCCCTCAACTGGAGTCTAACAGCTTTAACAAAACGTTGAATTTTCAATGCCTACCAGACCAATTATTGTTCTTTTGATATAATATGAAATCCGGACTTCAAAACTCCAAAACTTGTAAAAATACTTTGGCCTATATATTCTGTTTATATATCTATTTATTTCTGACATTAGCAATATCTAAAAGGTGCCCCTTTCAAAATCTGAAAATGAAGACATTTCGCTTTACTATTATATATGGATAATAATGGAGTCATTGAAATCCGCTCAGTCTTTTTTACTGATGACATCTTTCATTCTTTTTGATCGTCTGCTTTATGGAAACTGTCATTCAAATAAAATTATAATTGAAACATTTTACGATCAATGTTAAAATGATAGACTATTTCAAATGTTAAATAAAAAACCTTTAAAAGAGTTTCAATCAAAACACATGAGGAGGTAAGATAAGTTATAAATGCGGGGGAAAAACCTAAACGAAAATATTGACTTTCTTATGGTAATAAAAGATTTGAATAAATATTTATACAGCATATCCCGTTGCAATATAAAGATATCCTGGTATAATACAAAGATAACTGTTTTAACCCACATTCTTAACCATCAAAACCACATCTTAAGATTGTAGTTGACTTCAAAGAAATAAATTTGATAACATACTCTTGTGTTTCATTATTTTCTAATGTCTAAATTAAAAGTCAAGTTTTAAATTATTACAAAATCGAAACAAATTTAAAAAAAAAACTCATTACGGATCTAAAAAATAAGACTTCCCTCCCCTCCAAAATTTTGTTTCCATGGCATTTCCCTTATATTTGCAAACATTGGTTCCATCTTTTAAATTAAGATGTTGGCATCTTTTAATTAAAGACTTTGCACATATAAAGCCTTTACCTGGGGCTTGCCTTTGCCACCAGTACAAAGCCTGGCCGGCCTGTAGCCTGCACTTCAATGAAGTCTGACCAGGCTCTATTCTTTTGGCTAATTTACTCGAAATTTTTCATTTTGATATCCCAAAAATGGATTATTGACAGCTCCGGCCGAGAATTTGAAAGTTAATCGAGTAAATGAATTTCATAAAATTGATTCATTTTTTTATTACTCTAATACTGTATTTTGTTGCCGAAATATGTTTTAGCAAATCATCAATTACATATTTTCTGCCTAATTAATGGTAAAAATACTCTTATCAATTTATCTAACAAGCTATGTTTTGCAACATACATTAGACATGTTGACTTTAAATGCTTGAAGAATTTTGATATTTAGTTTAGTTTTAAACATATTTATTTAATGTACAAGGGTATGAAATAGTAAATCTTATTTGGACAATTTTTGAGTCGGCGTCCTGGAATTATCCACTAATGATGCCGTTTAAGGAAACAGGGTCGTAATCCAAGTGAGTTTCGAACAAAAAACACCTTAACAACTACGCTATTATTTGAATAAGAAAACTGTTGAATGTCTGTTCTAAACAGTGCAATTTCTGTAGAGCTGCTGTAGGATAATTACCACTTTACAACAACAACAGTTCTACCAAAAGTAAGACTTCGAAATAAATTGAACCTTTCTAAATTAACAACCCAACTCTTTGTCTCTCTCTACTAACTGATAGTTCTACATTACTAATTTATTAGACGTCTCAGTAGCAATTTTTTGTTTCCTTACACTACCAGCAGATTCGTTTTAACTTGAAAGAAAACTTTTTAAAATAAGTTAAATAAAGAACGTAAATTATACAAAAAATGATTAAATTCTTACTATCAACAGAAATAACGTATAATTTATCAAAATATATAGAAATGGCCCTTTTCTCTATTCGTTAGTAACAGTCTAGAAATCTTGTGATAAAAACAGTAAATTCCCGTAACTTCTATATAATTATATAACTTCAAAAGTCTCTCTTGAAATGTAATTATTTATTTAAAAATGGCTTTATTCTTTTTTTCTTAAGTTTTTGTTTTTCAAAGTGTGTGCATGAAGTACAAGTACTAAAACTTAAACTATCAGACTTTATACCACGCTAAATTGACTTGTCTGTCTTTTTGTTCATCCTTTTCAGGCAATTTTCAAAATACATGCACATATACATGTATGTATAAACTGGATAGCGAAAAGAACAAATCATTACCAGTCGGCACGAATCTTAGTCCAGACTGGTTGCATAGATAGAATGTTGCCGAAATGAGGCGGATAATTGTTAAAGGGACTCCACTTAGACTTTTTAACATGTCTGGTCTGGAAATACTTTTTCGAGATTTATGTTCAATTTGATGTAGATATAGACTAATAACTTGTGTGCAAAATTTCAGGTCATTCGCTAACTCCGTTTATTCTAATTGTAAAAAAGACACAAAAATGAAAAGCGTTGCAACGCTTTTCACCAAATCGGGCTAAGAATAGCACAGCACACGATTTTCCTTTAATAAAGTAAAGTTATCCATTATATTTTGCAAATCTTACTGTTTTATGTGTCCCAGTTGATCTATGTTCAAGGATTTTTATATTACTAGTATATTTTAGGCGTTTGGACCTAAGTGGAGTTCCTTTAATGGGTTTAGAGTGAGGTTTAAAGTGAAAAAAATGTTCACGCGTTAAAATAAATATAACACGCACACTTTAAGCTGATTTTAAAATTCAAATGAATATAAACATAAATTCGTGATATAGCGGAATCTTAATATTTCATTTTGGCAAAATGTGTTGATTACTGGCAGTTTTTATTCACCACGACACCTGCATATATTTGAACAAGTAAAATCAAATTGAATTTTAATTTCATATTACATTTACAGTGGTCCAGTCTTTAAAAGATTCGTATTTACTTTGGGGATAAAGTTTCGAGCTAATAGGCCAATATATAAATGTCTAAAATTTACTTAAAGGATCTTATCTCAAGTGACTGTTATTGGACCGGTAAAAAGGTAAACAGTCAATTAGCGCTGTTTATAAATAGCCTTAAAGAGGGGTAGAGTTACCTATAAATCAATCGCTATTTGAAATTAATACATACTTTTATATACTTTCTAAATTGAGAATATAAAATAATTTTGAAGTAACGGTTACTTAGCTAAAATGCGTGCTCCAACAGGTAAATTTCCAAAGTACATTTTTTAAGAAGTTTTTTTTTCATATTCAAGCATGGGCATTAAGGCATTAAGGACATGCATTTTATGAAAGACAAATACAAGGGAAGACTATCTTACACATTAGAACTTGTTTTGTATTTAAATAGCAAAATAGAAATTAATCAAGGACCAGTCTTAAAATAAAACGCTCTTATTGGTCAATTCAAAACATGCACAAGGAATCAACAAATCAGATGTAAGCAATATAAGACTGGTTACCACGCTCAAAAAAGAGAAAACTATTTTGGACATCGGTAATTTTCGAGTCTGAGTAAGTTAATACCATACTAACATTTAACAAGTTATCACACAATGTCATTTTTTGTCAAAATAAAACAACATTAAAGGCCCATTATGCCCTAGAAAAGCTATCGTTCCTATTTCTAAAAATCTATCTTAGATAGTTTCAAAAAAAATACTAATTTGTCACATATATGGACTATCTTCTTTCTTTGCTTTGTTTGCAATTCATGTGCTTAAAGTGAATTGGTATTTTGTATGGAAGTCAAAACACTATTTTTTTTACATTTTGCTACCTTTATGACACAATACTTCACGTTCAGTGCTACTTTCTTTAGTTGTAAAACATGTTACATGCTCTAAATACATAATTAAAACATCACTAAACACATGTTTGACATTTCCTTGACAATTAAAAATAATATGGAATTTGTAGGCATACTGTGCCTTTATGTTCAATTCGTTTAATGGCCATTATATGAATTACCGTCTGCATTCTTTTATACTACATAGGCACTTCCAGCATAATTTTTGTATTCATTTCTTCATTCTAAAATATTGTTAAAACCTATGCAACTCGCTCCTTATAATTAACTAAAGATAAATAATCATAAAAAAACTTACGTGTTCTCCCCCAGAGTCACACAACACGAATCACATTCAACCATCCGTTTAAAAACTTTAATTGAAAACTTCATAAATATTTAGTAGCGTTTTAACACCTATACCAACAATTCCCAATCTCAATGACCCAATAAAGCCCGTAATGTTCGTATATAACTTTAATGTATAATCCACACTGAAAGGAAATCGATGTTCAAGTCTGCCGTCAAAAAGCTCATTCTTATATGTAAAAGTCACAGTGAAACGCATGCCAAGTTAAAGATTCAATCAATTTCATATTATATTGAAATATATATAGCTCCTGGCTTGACATTGTCGGTGTTAAATATCGAGAAGTTTAACGTTTCGATTTACAAATATTGATTAGATTTCAATATCCAAATACTAGTAACCGCTTTATTTACGTAATTAAAGTGACAGTTATGTTTTAATTTAGAGTATTCCTTGATAAAAGTTGTAGATCGTTTAAATTAAAAGTTCGCACTGAACATTACGGTAATAAGACGTCCTTGACTTTAGAGTTTCCTGGATGGAGAAATACTGGTGATCCTCGGGTAGGAGCAAGCACTTTGGTAGTATAACAGATTTTCGCCGGTCTTTTAAGAGAAATGCACGGACTCCCAAAAGATGTATGCCAGTAACCTCTGTGATGTTACCTCCTTCATAATCCAGTAAGCCTATCTAAAAATATAAGCCAGTTGGTCTTCAAACTGTGGGTTGCGCATTTAAATCTCGCAGGATTCTGTATAATATATGAAAGGTTAAAGAAAGGTATAAATGTTGCCAACAAATGTGATGTTTTGCGTATTTTATGAAAGATATTGATTTTGTCATTTTTATCAACAGATTTGAGGATAGAACATTACAATCAATCCATTCATATTATTTGGACAACAAAACACTTTCTGCATTATCATAAAATTTGGCACGATGCTAGTGGTGTGCTCCTTTAAATTGTGAACGATATTCTGATATTCTCCACTAGTGAACTAAATATGCAACATGATTGACGAACACCCGCAATCAGCTCAATGACAAAGGTTTTATGTACGTCCATTTCTAATTAAGTTTAAGTTAACCATTTAACCTAAGTTTGTAGAAAGTTTTTCAGTGGTATGGAATCGAAAGTTGCCTGTCATTTGAACTTCAAGTATGACCTTGATCTTAGAAGCATCGGTTCTGCACATCACATTGTTCATTTAAACATTTAAGCCAAGTTTAATGAAAATTAATCAAGGTGTATAGGATTTATAATGCGATCACGAAACTGTCTGACATTGGGTCGATATAGATTCTGCGCATTGTCTTGTATTGTTAACTTTGACATTTGAGCCAAGTTTAACGAAAATCCCTCAAATGTAAGGATTTAAAGGGTGCGCACGGTTGATCTGGCTCTCTTGACATTTAACCTTTAAGTGTGATATTGAACGAGATTGGAAACTCGCAACTTATTTAAGGTAATGTAACGCATACAAATCATACTCTTTTCTAGGGAGAAACAAATGATTCTTTAATGTAAAGGTCCATTACATGGCGCCTCGGGTTTTTTTTCTTCAAAAAAAAATCTCATCCGAAAAAAAACTACTACGTGAAGAATTTGCGAGGGTTGAACAAGTGAATCCTAGGTTTTGTAGAAAAGTGTCACCATTGGTTTACTGCGCCTGCAATATCCGTTAGCTTTTTTATAACCTAGTTCAAGCAATTTAAGATACCCACCTCTTTTTATTTATAAATGTCATCATAATATGCAAGTTGGAACAGCCATACATTCACTTATACATTTAATTGGGATACATTATACTTTAAATATCTGAAATTAGTATGACGTATACAAGTCTGGATTACCTGCCCCTGTTACTACGTCATCACAGAAAAGTAGGCAGGGAACCAGAATAGCCATATACCAGCGTCTTTTAGGGTTTTCATTTCTGAAGCTTAATGTGCCTTTAAGGGAAAGAAACATACGTTTTATCAAACTTTCAAAAGAAATAATCCTAGTCATATATATCCCAAATTTCAAACGGAATATAGCTAGTCATAAATACCTTCAAGTGTATCGATACTCTAGTACTTCAAATGAAATTATAACCCACAAAAATCAAGTATAAGTTTTGATTTTGATTTACAATACTGATATACAGAAGGTAATTTAAACTCGCGTCAAGTTGTTGGAGAATGCTATCCCAGATAAATTGCTGAACAATGATAACACAAGTAAACCAATTGATTCTTAATAAGCCATCGTGGAGAAAATATAATTGTACTGCTAACTTACGTGCAGCGATGCCTTTACAAATAGAACCGGCTTGCTGTTGGCCAAAGGTCGGATTGGTTAGACTAGCGATGTTTACAACTACAGAGCTGCATTGTTTAGTGCTACAGGGTTTCAATGTAACATACGGACTTGCGTAACGCACTACAGCGTTTGGTAGAGTTTAGTGCTACATGGACGCATTCCTTTGAGACTTTCGTTGTTTTTACACACTACAATACCCCGTTGTTAAATGTGAAATAGATCCGAGTTGTTTAACGTCACACTATCAGAGCTATGATATTGATAGAGCCGAGTTGTTAAACGTGAAACAGAGCCGAGTTGTTAAAAGTGATACAGAGCCGAGTTGTTAAGAGCCGAGTTATTAAACGTGAAACAGATCCGAGTTGTTAAACGTGAACAGAGCTGAGTTGTTAAACGTGTCACAGAGCCGAACTGTTAAACTTGGTGAACGTGATAAAGAGCCGTTTTGTTCAATGTGATACAGAGCCGAGTTGTTAAACGTGTCACAGAGCCGAGTTGTGAAACATGGTGAACGTGATACAGAGCCGAGTTGTTAAACGTGAAACAGAACCGAGTTGTTAAACGTGATACAGAGCTGTGACAATACGTTGTGGAGCCCCGTTGTAAACGTGATACAGAGCCGAGTTGTTAAGCGTGAAACAGAGCCGAGTTGTTAAATGTGAAACAGAGCCGATTTGTTAAACGTGATAAGAGCCGAGTTGTTAAGCGTGAAACAGAGCCGAGTTGTTAAACGTGATATAGACGAGTTGTTAAACGTGATATAGAGCCGAGTTGTTAAACAGGATTAAGAGCCGAGTTGTTAAACGTGAAACAGAGCAGGCTTGTTAAATGTGAAACAGAGCCGAGTTGTTAAACGTGAAACAGAACCGAGTTGTTAAACGTGATACAGAGCTGTAACAGCACGTTGTGAAGCCGCGTTGTTAGTGGTAGAGAGCCTTGTTTTTCGACGTGATACCGAGCTGCGTTGTTTCACGCGATAAAGAGCCGAGTTATTTCACGTGAGACAGGATCGCTCTGATTACAGGGCAGTGGGTACACAAACGATCTGTAATGATTACATTTATATACTATAGGTTTTAATAGTTCAATAGGATTAAAATATCTTAAATGTGGTGAGAATGTACATGATTATGACGGAACTAAAGATGATTATGAAAGACAGAAACATATATGACTTATTTAATACAGGTCACAGTGTCATAGTTACCCTGTCAAAAGAAATACATGTAGTGTCATCGAGTATAAAAAGAAAATTATATAAAACTTTAATGTTGTCATGTTCTCAAACTTATAAATTGAACTTATATGCTGACAAATAAATTGATATCTGTTTCTTACATATTTGTAAAGTTAAAAAAAAATGAAAAGAAAACCCAGAAACAGAAGATCTTAAATTAAATCACCACTTCAGTGTCGAAAAGTAACTTAAATGTTATCCCTCTTACTTAGTATTCATCAAACTTATTTTAAGGTTAGCAACTGTACACATGTACGTAAAAAAATAAAAGCACATTTGCTACTGTATTTTAAGTCAGAAAGGGACGCTAAAAGGTAGTTAGTTCTACCTTGTGACTCTTTGTACCTTACTTTTTTCGAAAAGGTTTTTAAGTCACACAAGAACTGTAACGCTTATATAACCACCTCCGTGCTTAAGTGATGGGGCTGCAGGCACTCTTGTTTAGATCCCGTGTCTCAACAACAATGAATTAGGTAAAAGACATACATCTACTGTCCAGTTTAACTGCATCCTCGGAAATTTAGACTATTTACGGTAAATGTTGAGTACTAGTATACGGAGAGTGCAATTTACGGTAAATGTTGAGTACTAGTATACGGAGAGTGCAATTTACGGTAAATGTAGAGTACTAGTATACGGAGAGTGTAATTTACGGTAAATGTAGAGTACAAATATACGGAGAGTGCAATTTACGGTAAATGTAGAGTACTAGTATACGGAGAGTGTAATTTACGGTAAATGTAGAGTACAAATATACGGTAAATGTTGAGTACTAGTATACGGAGAGTGCAATTTACGGTAAATGTAGAGTACTAGTATACGGAGAGTGTAATTTACGGTAAATGTAGAGTACAAATATACGGAGAGTGTACCGAATGCGTACCTCGGTTTACGACGATGACTTAACTGATGCAGGAAGACCTCTGGTAACGCTCTGGCGCGAGCAGTTACCTTAATAAAACTACTGATCTTCAGTTATCAAGCTGTATAACTTAATCAAAATTAAAGACTCAATTAGCCCTGGCACAATTCGAGCACACAGCAATGAGGGGCAAGTGACGCATAGTTAGGTACCTTAACCACTTATTAACCGAGGTTTTATATGAAGGAATTGTAAGCATTTTCTACACGACCCACATTTCTGTCTTTTACCAGCAATCAAACGGTATGTACAAAATCGTCAAAATAATTTCGTTCTGAAATTGTAGAGTTCAATGCAAAGTCATCCAAAGTATTAAAACTTATTAATGTCCTAAATTTATCTGTCAAAACATTTACAGGCCTGAAGAAAAGAAAATTATTCAATTTACATGAAGCTTAAACCAACGTTTGTCAATATGCCAAGTTTCATACAAATAGGATAAAATTATATATAAAAAAGTATTTAACTATTATTGACAATATCAATTTGGTATTTTTCAAATGTACATGGCCATTATAAGAAAAGAAATGAAACAAGCGGGCCATGATGTCCCCTATTCACTCACCTGAGGTTACCGTTTTCATAATTTATTTCTGACTCATTCCTATAAAGTTTCATCAAAATCTGCCTAGTGGTTGTGACGGGTGTTTTGGGAGAAATGTTTTAAGTGTTTAGTATTATAGCTCTAGCATCCACCAAGTTCAGCATGATTGAACAAATTTAAATATGTTTGTAGAGGACCACTCAAGAAACATTTGTAACAAGTTTCTTTAAAATTTGTCCAGCGGTTTTTGTCAGCAGTCTTACTTCTACTTCGTACTTAACCTGCTGGAACTGAAAGTTATAAGCCTTTACCCTCAGTATAGAGCCAGACCAGCCTGCACATCCGTGTAGTCTGACCAAACTCTCGACTTTTGGTTGCTGATCACTTCCGGATTAAGCAGGTTAATTATATAGGATAGTTCTTTATATGCAAGAGAAATTTCAATATCAACAGGAAAGTACAAAAGCTAAGCAGCCAACAATATGGTGATGTCAGACGGTAGGGAAAATTGCCTGGAAAAATACTGGTGCCACAAGTCTATTATTTAAGCTATGGCCAATCAAAAGGTTTTAATATAAATTGTAACCACGGCAACTTTTTTGTATGAAAAAAAGAACAATTGTCAATATCTTTTATAAACATATTATTTTTTTCACTAATCATTTCAGAATGTACAGTACACAAATTGATCTACAAAATAAAACATGTCCAAAATGTTTGAGTACAATAAAACATTTAAAACTTTGATTTGATACATTTCAACACTGAATTAATTAATATATCAAACTTGGAGTTGACAACTTTCAACATTGAATTTATTGATATATCAACTTTCATTTAATACTTTTAAAAGTTCAATATTTATTTATTAATATACCAAACTTTCATTTTAATAAGCTGTTTAAGCTTGACAGGACATTTGTATTTTTTTACAAAGCAAAGGTGCAAGTACATGCTGTATTTACCTCATTTACATGATCTGACTGATATTGAATTGTAGAAAAGTATTTTGAACAGTTGACTCGGTTTCGAGTCATACTGACAAGGTAAAATATGCGGATATGTCTAGCTTCACAAAAGAAAAGAGAGGTACCTCTTTGTGGATTAGGCAAAATCAGGCATGTGAGAAGAACCATTAACAATTTGTAAATAAGCTAAATAGCTTTCTCACATAAAAAATATCAAAGTGTCTATTGGGTTTCAAACCCTCATTTGAAAGGAAAAGTGATTTAAAACTAACATGGGGTATTATTTGTATAAAATACAGAAAAGTTACAAAAAGACCACATTTTTTAAGGTCAGACAAAAGATATTTTGTTCATTGCAATGGATAATATATGTTTCTTTCTAGTTTTATAAGCCAACAAAACACTTCAGGGCACACTTCAATACTAAAAGATATACATTACAACCTGTACAGAGTAACACCTCCTGGGACACAAATAATTGGTTGTTACTGATACTAGTTGCTTAAATGAAGTTAAATTTATTGTATTAAGTATTATTTTTGTAAGAATTCAGACTATTGTTGTAACTTGTACACAGGTTATTGGTAATTGTAGACAGGTTATTGGTTGTTGTAGACAGGTTATTGGTTGTTGTAGACAGGTTATTGGTTGTTGTAGACAGGTTATTGGTTGTTGTACACAGGTTATTGGTTGTTGTACACCGGTTATTGGTTGTTATACATCTGTTAATGGTTGTTGTACATCGGTTATTGGTTGTTGTACACAGGTTATTGTACACAGGTTATTGGTTGTTGTACACAGGTTATTGTTCTACAGAGGTTACAATAAAATAAACATAGACACAGTGAGTTCCAGTTATAAAGTACATGTAATTACAAAATTTAATACCAAGATATCTTAACATGCAACAACATCTAAGAAAGAAATATCTAATTTTCTATCATAATAAGTAATATTAATGTAATACAATTATTCGTAAATCTGCTAGAACTTAATTAACACAATCAAGTACATATCATATAATATATCATCAATAAAAATCATGTTACTCCGAACTTGACAAATATGGGTTTTTTCCAATCTAATCAAGGGCTACAAACTTTTACTGCTATAGCTTTACAGTGCACTACATTTTCCAATAGAATGAACATGTTGCCATTATTATTGATATATTTATCAAAGTTTTAATTGTAAAAGTTTTATTGTACCCGAGATTGGTAAGGGAAAAAGCCCACAGTTGCCAAGCTCTTGAGTACCTGTATCTATTTATCCATTTATTTCATATTTTACAAGAATAAATCAGCCTCATTATGTATTATGACAATGAATCAACTGAGGTACTTAATTATTAACAGTTTTTAAAAGTAATATTTTAACCTATCTTTTATGGCACTAAGTACACGACTGTAATATTTTTACCTTATAACTGGGCATAATATGATACAAGGGAGGTAACTACAAAACACTTTTTTGACCTTTATATATTAAAGAATTACCTCCCATGAGAAAACACTATTGCTTTATATTTAGCAATGATATATTGATAGATATGGAACCAAATTTTTTTGGATAAAGAGTCTCTATGACCAAGTGTACCAGTGAAATGATGAAGTCTGAAAAAATATGATTTTAACAAGTACATCTATATCCCTGAGGGCACTTAAATATATATGTTATTGATTAATTTATTTTTCTTTTTAGATTGGGTTTAAGTCATCGCTGACACAGTAATTGTCTTGTGAAATATTTCCAACTTATAAGTGGCGGAGGAAGACCTCAGGTGCCCCTCCAAGCATTAATATAGTAACAACTAGGCACCGGAGTAGAACCACCAATATTCTGTTAGATAGCCAAATAGCTTCCTCACATGAACTACAAAGTCCAAGGCAGGTTTAAAACCCACAACTGTGATTGTCACTCTTTTAACACATGTCTACAGTTCAAAGTTAACATCATTCAAAACTGCAACATTTGATAGCATATGTTAAAAATTTCACCTGTGTTACAGATTATTTTTGATAATTGAATTATTCCTTAATTTGATTTAAGTCATATTCTAATTCACGATGTGTCCAGTACATTTATCCCACACAATATTTTGTTATAAGCATCAAATTCTTAAAGTATCATCTCCCCCTTTCACTTCTTTTGTTCTCTATATTCATTTATTCTTTAAAAGAACAGATACTCCACTTTTCTCTTACAAATATCAAAAGATTTTTCTCTACATAAAATTTCAATAATTTTGTACATAATTTCTCCACGTATACTGTTGTACTGTACTAAGTACAGCTTAACATGTGCTGAGACATGGTACATTGATTTATATGTACAATTTTTATTGGAACAATGTATAATAACATTCATCCATTAACAAAACAATGTAACAAACTCAATCAACCCCATCCTCTGCTTTCTCTTCACCGTCCACAACACTGGTTTTAGCCTTAACAGTTTCGCTAGAATCTTTTATCTTTTTATTGGCATCGTCACCATCCTCCACGTCATCATCATCGTCCTCTTTAAGAAGATCAGAGTCATTCCCGTCATTATCTAATAACACGGAGTCATCATTCTGGGACACTAAATTATCGCTATCTAACACACTGTCATCACCGTCAGTCGTGTTCTTATGACCGTTTAATAAAGCATCACTATCACCGGTATTGTTATCATTTTGTGATTTATCTACACTATCAACTTCACTGGTTTGTGAAGTATCAGGTCCATTTCCTGTTTTGTTGTCACCTTTTCCGTCTGCGTTATTTGTTTGAGATACTGAGGTATCTCCATCTTGTGAGATTTCCGATGTTTCCTGTAAAAGTTCTGCCTCCGAGTCACTGCCCAGAACTTCAATCGCATCATCGTCATCATCTTCTGGAATAGAAAACATCATGATTTACTATATTGTTTTATGTTTTAGATAACTTAATTATTTTCTTTATGTTACCTTAACCCTGCTGTCATTATGCTTGACTCTATCTTGCCATGACATCATTCGAACCCAAAACAGTGTGGCAAGTGGTTTGAAGTCAACAAACTAAACGCCCCTCTAGAACTGTTGGTAGTAAAAAGAATTTCACTAACAAAACAAGTAATAGGAGATTATCACAAAACCAGACTTTCTGCAAAATTACTTGTGTAAAAAACAACGGACCGAAAGTCCCGAAGTCCAAAAAATATGTTCCAGGAAAAAACTTTTGATGACACTTGGTGAACTGTCAGAGATGTGGAAAGAAACAAGAGGGCCATGATGGCCCTGGGGTCGCTCACCTGAACATAGGCCCCCAGGGCCGGGCCAGTTTAAACCAAAGGGCTTTTATTTGAACAAACTTGGAAGACACCCATTAAAAGATATTTCATGATGTTAAGTTTTTACTATACAAAAATAATGAATAACAATGACTTTTGCCCCCTCCCCCCTCTCCCTGGCAGGGCCAATTTTGACCCAAGGGCTTTTATTTGAACAAACTTGGTAAACATCCATTAGAACATGTTTCATGCTAAATATCTTAGCTCTAGCTCTTTTGGTTCTTTAATAGAAGATTTTTAACTTTTTACTCTATGTATATAGGGAAAATCAATAACCCCTGGGACAGGGCCAATTTTGACCCCAGGGCTTTTATTTGAACAAATTTGGTAGACACACCCATTAGAATATGTTTTCATGCTAAATATCTTAGCTCTAGCTCTTTTGGGTTCTTTAAAAGAATTTTTTTTTAAGTTTTTTACTATATGCATATAGGGAAAAATCAATGACCCCCTGGGGCGGGGCCAATTTTGACCCAGGGCTTTTATTTGAACAAAACTTGGTAGACACTGATAAGAAGATGTTTCATGCTTAATATCTTAGCTCTAGCTCTTTGGGTTCTTTAAGAGAAAATTTTTTTGAGTTTTTAATATATGCACATAGGGAAAATCAATGACCCCCTGGGGCTGGGCCAATTTTGACCCCAGGGCTTTTATTTGAACAAACTTGGTAGACATCCATTAGAACATGTTTTACGCCAAATATCTAAGCTCTAGCTCTTTGGGTTTTTTAGAAGAAGACTTTTTTAAGTTTTTACTATATGCATATAGGGAAAATCAATGACCCCCTGGGGCGGGGCCAATTTTGACCCCAGGGCTTTTATTTGAACAATCTTGGTAGACACTTATTAGAAGATGTTTCATGCTTAATATCTTAGGTCTAGCTCTTTGGGTTCTTTAAAAGAAGATTTTTTTAAGTTTTTACTATATGCATATAGGGAAAATCAATGACCCCCTGGGGCGGGGCCAATTTTGACCCCAGGGCTTTTATTTGAACAATCTTGGTAGACACTTATTAGAAGATGTTTCATGCTTAATATCTTAGGTCTAGCTCTTTTGGTTCTTTAAAAGAAGATTTTTTTAAGTTTTACTATATGCATATAGGGAAAATCAATGACCCCCTGGGGCGGGGCCAATTTTGACCCCAGGGCTTTTATTTGAACAAACTTGGTAGACATCCATTAGAACATATTAAATGCCAAATATCTAAGCTCTAGCTCTTTGGGTTTTTTAGAAGAAGATTTTTTTAAGTTTTTACTAAATGCATATAAGGAAAATCAATGACCCCCTGGGGCGGGGCCAATTTTGACCCAAGGGCTTTTATTTGAACAATCTTGGTAGACACTCATTAGAATATGTTTAATGCTTAATATCTTAGGTCTAGCTCTTTGGGTTCTTTAAAAGAAGATTTTTTTAAGTTTTTACTATATGCATATAGGGAAAATCAATGACCCCCTGGGGCGGGGCCAATTTTGACCCCAGGGCTTTTATTTGAACAATCTTGGTAGACACTTATTAGAAGATGTTTCATGCTAAATATCTTAGTTCTAGCTCTTTGGGTTCTTTAAAAGAAATTTTTTAAAGTTTTTAGTATATGCATATAGGGAAAATCAATGACCCCCTGGGGCGGGGCCAATTTTGACCCCAGGGATTTTATTTGAACAATCTTGGTAGACACTCACTAGAAGATGTTTCATGCCAAATATCTTAGCTCTAGCTCTTTGGGTTTTCTAGAAGAAGATGTTTAAAGTTTTTTCTTTTGGTTGCCATGGCAACCAGAGTTCTGCATGGAATGGAATTCTTTGAACAACTTTGTTAAGGCTTCACACAAGGAACATCCCTGTGAAGTTTCATTATGATCTGCCTTATGGTTTCAGAGGAGATGTCGTTTGAAAAGTGTGAACGGACGACGGACGACGTACGACGGACGAAGAGTGATCCTAATAGCTCACCCTGAGCATATGCTCAGGTGAGCTAAAAAGTGTTCATGCCCAACTGGCAAGTCTACAAAAGAGAGTTTATTTGTATTTATCCTTTACCCTTCTAAACATCTAAAATGGACTTGTGCATCTTTCTATCTGGACAAAACTTTCATCATATTTAGAGGAAACTAACAATAATGTACAGACTGAACAGTAAACAGTGCTGACCATGACAAGATGTGTCACCTGCTCATGGTCTGCACTGGTCACATGGGAAGAATCTGGCATCTGACTATAGGTTAAGTGTCTCTGATTCAAATTTTCTTCAATTATAAACTTATTATTCAAGCATTATAGCATTCTAAATGCTCAAAAGTTCTTAATATACAGTAGAATGCCTAAGTCAAATATATACAAGTTTTCTCTCTTAATTCATGTGAGGTAATTACAGCACCTGTATAAATGAAATAACATGTACTGTAAAAGTAATTTTAGCTAAGTAAACTATAAACAAATCTATATTCTAAAAAAAAGACAATCAAACAAATGTGCTAAAAACATTATTTGGCAGAAACATTGTTTAAAATGACTGTTTATAATAAACCTGCTTTCCTTTGAAATTCCAACTGTCCATTATCAATTATAAATACAGGGTGAAAACAGTGCTTGCAACAAGAATGAATTGCCAATGTCCAAGTTCCTAGCTAGACCACTTGGCACATCCTCGCAATATTTCTAAAACTGTAAATTACCCAATTACAAATGTTTTATTTCAAATTTGGAATTCCTTCAATCAACAATGGGCAGTTCCAATGTTCAAAAGCCGGCCAAGTCCATAACTAAAGTTTAGTAGGGTTAGGGTTAAGATAATATTACCATCATCATCATCTTCAACTTCTATAGATTCTACCGTTTCTTCAAGCTCCTCTCCAGAATAATCATCATCGTCATCATCATCCTTCACCTCATAAACATCATCTATAAATAGAAAAATCAAATGATATAAGAGTTTTCATGTTGTTTCGTTTTTAAAATCCTTACCACTCTACATATCTTAAATGGACTTGTCCATATTCCCGTCATCAAATTAAGGGAAAATTTCAAAATATTACCTGACTGAAAAGTGAGCAGTGCAGACCATGAGTTGACAGCACAGAAGTGCTAGATGATCTTGGTCAGCATTAGAATTATGGGTAGGAACAGTTGCTCCCAGCAGGCTAAGGGTTAAGTTACAGTGAAATGGAGACCGTTTTTGCTTTCAGGGTAAAGATAAATGTTTTTGCTTTCAGGGTAAAGATAAACGTTTTTGCTTTCAGGGTAAAGATAAAGTATCAAATCACAGAGGGTGCTGAATTTGTTTGGGTCTCGCAATGTCAGAAAGGTGAAGGTTGTGAGATTATAAATTTGTTTTTGTTTAGTGCCAGCTATGCTGTTTCCAGTGTTATAACTGTAGTAAATTGGCTATAAGGCTAATTGCAACACTGATATTCAATTCAATGTTTATTTGGCTTAAACAACAACAAAACAAAAACAAACAAAAAACACGAGTTGCCTTAACTTGGATTTGAACCCAAGACCTCTAGCTTCCTAAACGAGCGCTTAACCCCTGGACCACCGGGAAGTTATAAGCTTAAGAATAAAGTTTGAAGCAAACCACATTATTCTTAATTAGGGATTGTAATCCTTTTTAATTTCGAGATATTTTGTTCACGGTAAACCTGTTGTTTATAATATATATATAATATAATATAAGCATGTATATCTGTAAAATAATTTAGCAAAAATCTTCTCACAGGTATATAATATTTCACATCTCTTTGTGTAATACGTGCTGAAGTGTGGCTCAAAACAGTGCTTTGTTTACGTGGATGCTTAACTTTTAAGACTGTTACTTTAATATGGAGAAAATTGATTATCAATTGTCAACTGCCTAAATTCGTCCCTGTCCTAGGGTCAACATCATTACTTTATTTTTCAGAAAGTCTAAATAACAAATGTTCATTTAGGCGATCACAATAATCTGAAGCTTTACAGAAATAGCCGACCAATTTTCATTGATCAAAATGATATTCATCCGCATAACAAAATTATTTGATTATATTACCGGTAATTTGCGGAAATGTTAAAGAAGTACACAATATTAGAAATCTTCTACTATTCGGGAACTATTTTTTCTTCCCTGAAAAGGTTTGAAAATTAATGCGCCTGTCATTTGACAATCTTTTCGCAGTGATCTCCCCTTAATTTTTCAGTGTACATATAAAGGCAAGGAGTTTATGATGGACTACCTGCGGATTTTGTAAATAAGCATATCAGGGTCTGAAATTTCCCTACCATTATTTATTTGGTCTGATGACCCAAACAATCAAAAATCACTGAATTTTCATTAGCAAGGTAACCTTCTCAAATTACACAACTAAATGTTTCCTAAGTGGACTGAAACCCACAGTGCTGTCATCATGTGAGGAAATGTGTGACATAAATTAAGATAGCGCACACAGTTGAAAGACAAATGTGAAATGAAATATAGAGGTTTACTGATCTTATCTCAACAACATTATCAATTAGGCACCTATGTCAATTTTGAACCTATCTACCTAACGTTTGTGACATTTACTTATGACATGCAATAAATATTAACAAAATCCCTTCCAGACTCACTTTTAATAAATATTAACCCCTTGCACATGTGTGCTACCAGTTTCAAGTAACGCTGCTTGAATTTTATGGTAAGAGTTTTTTCCCTTTAAATCTACATTGGCTGGTCTTTTTAGATTTACATAGAGGAATTCCAGCATGATATAGAGGATATTTGTTTAGTTCAGTGTAAGATCGGAATATATTTCACCGAGTGAGCACCAAAAGGTATATTTCACGAGTGGCGCAGCCATGAGTGAAATATAAACTTTTGGTGTTCACAAGGTGAAATATATTTCGATCTTACACTAAACTAAACAAATTTTCTTTTTATTATATGCAAAGAAACGTTTTAAAAAGACATTTAACCTAATATTGAATGAAAAGCGTGCCAAATAATAATACAACGTGACGTCATTTACGATGTCACGTCATTAAGTTGGTACCCAGTACTGTGCACGCTGGTATTTCATTGAAACAACGTAAGGGGCTTAAATTCAAAACAGTGAAATTATCACAGTGGTAATTTCACTGTTTCAAACAGTGAAATTACCAGTTTTATATCACTGATATATTTCTATAAACCACCGAAAAGCATGTAATAAATGATAAACTGTAACTACCATCAGATTCCACTTCATCATCGTCATCATCATCATCACCTACAATTACTACAGAATCATCTTCCATTATCTGATCATCATTATCATCATCACCATCACTATCAACACCATTTTCTTCCACTTCTATATCAGAAGCAAGGTAATATTGCAGAGGGTTAGGCCAAAGGTCATCTTTTATCATCTGAAAAAAAAGGACAAATTCATATACATATCAATAATAGAATGGTGCGATTCATTCATAATGATTATCTGGTAAAAAAAAACAGTTTAAAGTAACATAAATATTGTTGGTCGAAATATTCTTGAATGTTTCGTGAGTGGTTTCTGGTTGTTTTTTTTATTTATTTTCAGTGGAATGTACTTTACACTATTTACTCTTCCCAGCCTTTTGTTGTTACCTTATTTCTGTTTGCCTGTTGATACAAACAGGCTGGACTGTCAGCAAAACCACAATGTTCTCAAATGTGGAAGTGCCAGTTGTCATGTCATCCACTCACTTACTTAAATACTTCAAACATCTGAGTTTTGACTGAGTTATAAGTAAGCTAGGCCAATCTACATATCCATTAACCTGTAGCTTGCTGGCAGCAACAGGTTTTGCCAGTGCTGACCAAGATTAGTTGTCACATTCGTTCCTTCTGATCATGACTTGCATCGTTCGCTATTTGGCAATACATATTTTCATATTCTCCCAAAATAATGATGAATGCTTTTGTTCAAATTGAAAGATGGAAAAGTCCATTTAGGATATTTAGTATGATAAGGGTAAATATCTGACAAACATCTATACTACTGGCTTTTAAATTGAAAAATACCTCTGAACTAATAATGAAATGTTTAAAAACTTTTAACAGGACAAGCATTTGAAATAAATTTAGCAATGAAATTCGTACAATAATTATGCATGGCCCATAGGTTAAAGTTTGAAATTCTTAACATTCTGAAAATCCTTAATTAAGCATTTCTTTTATTGTGTTCAACTGAAAAAGTGGACTTGTCAGTGTCTGGTAATCCTGAAATAATAAACATTTGAGCCGCGTCACGACAAAACCAACATAATGGGTTTGCGACCAGCATGGATCCAGACCAGCCTGCGCATCATAGCAGTCTGATCAGGACGTGGCTCATTTTACCTATGTCATTGACTTGAAAAACAACAACTTATAATAACACTAAATAATTACCTCAGCTATTCTGTCCCTTGCTGGGTCTACAGTATCTGTAAGCCACGAGAAGAAGGACCTGCCTTCCCCACGCTGACGTCTCACATGTTTGGCTTGTGTATTTCTTGTGAGGTCCATGTTAGGTTTCCAGTGAATCTGTGTAGACCTACAGGGTGGCTTGCCATCTGTACACAATATATATCACTAATAATCTGTATATCATCTAAATGAAATTGTGTTGTATATAATGTACACATTTAGCAAAAGCTGTCAGTCATAATGAGTTGATCTTTTTCTTTTTGTCTTTGAATTGGTTTTACATCACACCAACACAGTAAAGGTCATTTGGCGTCTTTTCAGCTTTAATGCTGGAGGAAGACCTCAGGTGCCCTTCCGTGCATTATTTCAGGCATGAACGGGCACCTGAATAGAACCATCGATGTTCCGTAAGCTAGCTGGATAGCTTCCTCACATGAAAGAATCCAAAGTCCCTGTCGGGATTCAAACCCACAGCGGTGAAGGGCAAGTGGTTTGAAGTCAACGACCTTCACCACTCGGCCACGGATGCCCGTAATGTGTTGATCAATTCATAGAATACATTTATAAATTAACATACCTATTCAATGAATTTCATCAATTAGATATTGTTTTATTGCCAAGTTAAAAGGGTTTTAGTCATTTGTTTCTCAGCATATAATGTAAGAAAACAATATACCTGTTGCTGCTAAATGAAATTCCTTTGTGAGAACTTCATCTGTAAAATATGGATTTGAAGCAAACTGGAACTGAATTGAGAAGCCTGATTTTATATCTTCAAATTCTTCTACATCAACCTGTAATTACAAAATTCATATTTAATTATATGTTAAAGGCTTTTTTCACTACATATTTAAGAAAATGCTAAACATGTTTTTTCTTTACCATTAACAGGCTAAATTTGGAAAGGACTGTTCATGCACCGAGTTCTCAACATTTACAGTGACATTTTTTCTATCAAAAAGTTAAAATTAAACAAGCTACAGCATGGAGTCTGGGCTAGCCTGTCTGGTGGCATAGATATGTCATTATTACCACCAACATCGAAATGTTAAAACTTCAACCCTTACCCACTAAATATCTTAAAATGGACTTGTCCATCTTTCAATCTGGACAAGACCATTCATCATTTTAGGGATAATTTCAAAACAAGAGGGCCATGATGGCCCTGAGGTCGCTCACCTGTATAAAGCCCCCCCCCACCCCCCGGCCAAATTTTACCCAAGGGCTTTTATTTGTTTATTTGAACAGACTTGGTAAACACCCATAAGATGTTTCATGCTAAACATCTAAGTTCTAGCTCATTGGGGTTTTTAAAAGAAGATTTTTTAAGTTTTTACTATACACATATAGTTAAAAACAATGACACCCCTGGGGCAGGGCCAGTTTTCACCCCCAGGCTTTTATTTGAACAAACTTTGTAGATATTTACTTAAAGATGTTTCATGCTTAATATCTAGTAATTTGGGTTTTTTCAAAGAAGATTAAGTTTTTGCTAAACACATATAAGGAAAATCAATGACCCCCTGGGGCGGGCCAGTTTTGACCCCAGGGCTTTTATTTTAACATACTTCGTAGACACCCATTAGAACATGTTTCATGCTAAATATCTTAGCTCTAGCTCTTTGGGTTCTTTTAAAGAAGATTTTTTAAGTTTTTACTATATGCATATAGGGAAAATCAATGACCCCTTGGGGCGGGGCCAATTTTGACCCCAGGGCTTTTATTTGTACAAACTTGGTAGACATTCACAAGAAGATGTTTCATGCCAAATATCTAAGCTCTAGCTCTTACGGTTCTTTAAAAGAAGATTTTTTAAGTTTTTACTATATGCATATAGGGAAAATCGATGACCCCCTGGGGCGGGGCCAATTTTGACCCCAGGGCTTTTATTTGAACAAACTTGGTAGACACTCACAAGAAGATGTTTCATGCCAAATATCTTAGCTCTAGCTCTTTGGGTTCTTTAAAAGAAGATTTTTTAAGTTTTTACTATATGCATATAGGGAAAATCTATGACCCCCTGGGGCAGGGCCAATTTTGACCCCAGGGCTTTTCTTTGAACAAACTTGGTAGACACTCATTAGAAGATGTTTCATGCTAAACATCTTATCTCTAGCTCTTTGGGTTCTTTAAAAGAAGAATTTTTAAGTTTTTACTATATGCATATAGGGAAAATCAATGACCCCCTGGGGCGGGGCCAATTTTGACCCCAGGGCTTTTATTTGAACAAACTTGGTAGACACTCATTAGAAGATGTTTCATGCTAAACATCTTATCTCTAGCTCTTTGGGTTCTTTAAAAGAAGAATTTTTAAGTTTTTACTATATGCATATAGGGAAAATCAATGACCCCCTGGGGCGGGCCAATTTTGACCCCAGGGCTTTTATTTGAACAAACTTGGTAGACATTCACTAGAAGATGTTTCATGCCAAATATCTAAGCTCTAGCTCTTACAGTTCTTTAAAAAGAAGATTTTTTAAGTTTTTACTATATGCATATAGGGAAAATCAATGACCCCCTGGGGCGGGGCCAATTTTGACCCAGGGCTTTTATTTGAACAAACTTGGTAGACACTCACTAGAAGATGTTTCATGCCAAATATCTTAGCTCTAGCTCTTTGGGTTCTTTAAAAGAAGATTTTTTAAGTTTTTACTATATGCATATAGGGAAAATCAATGACCCCCTGGGGCGGGGCCAATTTTGACCCCAGGGCTTTTATTTGAACAAACTTGGTAGACACTCATTAGAAGATGTTTCATGCCAAATATCTAAGCTCTAGCTCTTAGGGTTGTTTAAAAGAAGATATTTAAAGATTTTTCTTTCGGTTGCCATGGCAACCAGAGTTCTGCATGGAATTAAATTCTTTGAACAATTTTTAAAGGTGACCACCAAAGGAACATTCCTGTGAAGTTTGGATGAAATTGGCTTAGTGGTTTATGAGGAGATGTCATTTAAAGCAAAAGTTTACGGACGACGGATGGACGGACGCCGGACGAAAAGCGATCACAAAAGCTCACCCTGTCACTTTGTGACAGGTGAGCTAAAAAGTACTGACTGAATAGTGAACAGTGGCAGACCATGATCAGACACACTGTGCACTAGTTACATGGGTTGATGCTGTAGCTGCTTGCAGGCTTAGAAAGGGTTAAACAAATTACCTGTTTCAGATAGTGCAGACACTCTTCTTCTTCCTCTTCAACAATGTTTGCCATTCTAGGATGATTCAAAAACTACAACTGTGTTAAGGAAACATTTATGTCAATGTCATCATTATTCATGTTATATAATTATTCTGATATTGATTTCTATAGATTTTACAACCAGAATCAACAAGACTTTATACTCTGTGACAGTATTTGTACTAAGATTAACTACTACACAGCATCCAAAAGTAAAATAAATATCAGCAACATAATAAGTTGGTTGATTCACTTTCTTTACCAGTGAATTAAACCTTTTAGTTTACCTGTTAAACTTGTGTAATGGACATGTCCTGTCCACAATTTAGAAACTGTCCAATATCATGAAAAAAAAAAATGTCAAAAGCTAACAGTATGTCAGTGACAGTCTGATAAATGCACACACAGTCACACTATACAGGCAGATTAGGCAACTCAATATCATTGAATATTGCTGTAAGAATTCAAAGAATTATATCAATTATAATAGTTTAAAAAAGGATACTGATGTCACCCAGAAATTAGGAATATGTTTGATCAAGTTGTTTCTCTTTTCAAAGTGGGGTCGTCTCAACTTATTATACTTCATCTCCACCTGGAGAATTTCCTCACTAGCTTTCTCATTTAAAGCATCTATGTCACTTTGACAACAGTCTATATCTTCAAGTGCTTTCTGGGTCTCTGCATCTACTGAACCTGGCTCTGGATCAGATGAGATTTCAGTGATGGAGGATGACAGTCGGGCCACTTTTGCAGGAGTTGGTGATTCTTCTGTGTCACTCATTATTTTTATTCTGAAATATATAATACAAAGTTAGATAGGTAAGTTAATTTTTTAACATGAAAACTTCCCAGATAATATATAAGGAGACAAATTAGTCTCACCTTTACTACAAATAACATAGCACTAACATATATTTTGCCTGGTAGCGCACAGAAGCTACGAGAGACAGTCTATAATACCAAAACCATACAAATAAATCAATATTTGTGACAATACATGTCTACATATGAAAACACACATGACATTTATAGTATGCTAAAAGATCTCTCAATAATAATCATCCGCATCATCTGAAAACATGACGTCCAGGAAAAGAGAGAATTTTACTCAGATGAAACCTGTGTCCAATTTAACAAGTTCAGTGCCTTCCTCAGCTGCATGTGTGGACTTCACATGACAATATTCAATAATATAATATGAATGGCCTAACAATCTTTCAACTAAACTTATCCTTAGGACAAAATATCACCAAAATTTGCATCTAATAACCACTATTTTATTTTATTTTTATTTTTTAAATTCAAGACTTGAAATTTTTAAAGCACATGTTCATTGGCTTTGGTGCACACTAGAAACTGACGCCTGTAACTCTACCTCTCTCAATGTAATCATACCATCCATTTCCATTGGTCAGTTTGTAACAAAACAATCAAGCACTGGTCACTTTTTAACTCAAGCGACTAATTCATCGTAATGTAACATAACTTTACCTCTATACTATGTAATGCAGTAAAGTAAAAATTATAGTCAGCTAGCAAAGCAAGCATTACGGTAACACAAGTATATTCAAAAGTGATGGCTTTGAAAACTTTTGTCAAAAGTACATAAAAAATATGGGAAACAAGTTTTTGGGCCCTCCATGGAGGTTATTTCCGTTCCCTGTAGCATGCCGGAAATGATTCAGAGTCAACTCGTCCTCTGGTCAACTCGTCACCTTTTTGGTCAACTCGTCACCTTTTTGGTCAACTCGTCCCTTGGACAACTCGTCCCCTGGTCAACTCGTCCCCAACTCGTCCCCTATATTTTATTATTATTTGTTTTTCATATATTTCATAAATTATTATAGACTGTTAAAATTATATATTATAAAATTACTGAATTGGAAATATTTTGACGCTTTTTGTATGCGAATATTTGGAGTTTTTTTGTTGTTAATTAAATATATTTTTTGACACGTGCTTTTGGTTATTAAAGTAAACACAGTAATTTGTAATTTGATAATAGGATTAAAGACATATTTGCCTCTGTGGTTGGATAAGTATTTATATATTTAAAGAACGCGTGTCTTTAATTTGAAATTATACAAATCGCGTGAAAATCGTGCCAAAGGTTGTTAAAAAAATATATTTTCCAAATGTCCTATTTGTTTTTGATGGTGTATGGTCAAATATATGAAAATGTTGAATTAAATACAATTAAAACATTCAATATGTTGACTTGTATTATACAAGAAATTCTGGAACTCGGTCTTATACAGCTCCCCTTTGAGATCAATTTAATGATTTATTTATGGAAATTTAAGATGAATCTATTATACATGTAATAATTACTAATTATTTTGGCAATTGAATATTTGGTAATTACTTTATGTTTTCAATCAGTTAATATCCACGGCAAATATTATTAAAGATCATTAAAGGTTAAACGTAAAAAAAGATGTTAATATAATAATATTTCGATATCAATCAAATTCATTATTAATTTTACATAAAAGAACTATTTAAAGACATTGATTTACAACATAATAGTGACGAACAGATCGAAAGTAGGGGACGAGTTGACCATATTAGGGACGAGTTGACTCTTTGAGGACGAGTTGACCAGAAGTAGGGGACGAGTTGACCAAAAAGGTGACGAGTTGACCAGAGGACGAGTTGACCAGGGGACGAGTTGACCGGATTGCCCGGAAATCAGTACCTGCAAGTTACCTGCACTATTATTTAATTTATCGAAACATGGCAATGATCAGTTTTTCTTGTTTCCTGTCTGAGTCTCATAATGGTTCCCATTCAAATTGGTATTTGGAATCCCTTGAGAAATCTAAACATGAAGTTCGGCGAAAGTAATTTTCACGAAATGAGACTCTTTGCTATTTTAGGTTTTACATTTACATGAAATGGCCGTATTTCGAAATATCAAAACAGTTTGTAGTAATAGCCAAAAGTATGCGGTCCTATGTGTGAATGAGGAGTAGAGTGTGCAGCCGCTGATATGTTCATAAACATGGTCACAACTCATAATAATGTATACAAATTCTGTGAAAGAGCTCGCTTTGGCACCTTTTCCATAATACTTTCTGGCTGCGCATCTTTCATTTTACAAATATCAAGTTTATTCATACAAACAACAATACAGCTACATGTAAAGGCGTGAACATGCACCTATGAAGGATCATTAACCTTGAATTTGTTAAACGGTTAGCCCCATGCGTGAAAAATATTCACTCCATGTCGCGGAAACATGTTACATTTAAAAATAACTTTTAATTTACTCGTGACAGAAGTTATCTTGCCAATTACACATATGAATACAAATTAAATGGAAGAACGCAAAGTGATAATGTCATTATTCAACACCGCAAAAGGTTAAATATAGGAAAATACCTTTGTTTACGTTTTAATGGAAAAAAATAATCAACGCGCCGAAGTGTTTCTGAAACAGGAACATTCATTGGTTAAGGTGATGACCTTTTTTAAAATTAACCAATCAAATTAAGTCTTACAGATGTGAAATAGACCCAACTAGTTACATTGAATAAAAAGATAAATGAGGCCCTGTCCGAGATTACATGAAATACATGCATTTAGTCATAATATCGGTACAATTCTGATTTTAAATCAAGAAGAAAAGTTTCTGTTTCACTTGTTTTCATTTATAAATGCTGTACTAGTCAAAAATCTCTAGGAATGTTTCATAAACAGTGCTAGAGTTTATTTCAAATCATAGTTGGGTTAATTTTGAATATCTTATATGAACATATATATATTTCCATGTATTTATTTTTTAAATTCTGCTATAGACACTCTTTCTTTTATTTTCATATTTTCGAAAATAAACCAAATGTTACTGCGAAATGTGACCAGGGTCGTTTCAAATAGTTATATTTCAAAGACCAAGACGACACAAACTAAAAGACACACTGTCGAATTGTACCTGGTTCAAAAAATAAATAAACCTTATTTTTTTGTGCCAGATTGTACTATACTTTGACTGTATTCAGCGTATGGTCGCGAGATCAGAGTTCTCCAGTTACCCCCTCAAGTTTTTTTTTTCAACCAACAGTTATTATAAGGGATGAGAGTGTATAATCTACTGTTTTATTCATAACCTTAAGGGCGTATTCAGCGTTGGTGAACTAAGATTAAACGGTATTTGGTAATTTATTCCATTATTACACAACTCTCAATTGCAAAAAAAAATAAATAGTATTCTACATGCATGGTTTAATTTTTTTCGTTTAACCTTTCTACGGTTAAATATCTTCTTAAATCCAGTACTCCAAATAATATTTCCATATTTAAAGGTGTTGTGGAATTGGTGTTGTATAATGTTTCCAGAATTAATGAATGTTAATCAACATGTAACAAGTCTAGTCATTTTATTTGTTTTATTAATACAGTAAGATTTGGGGTGGGTGGGGGAGGGGGGGGAGGCGGGCAAACATTATAAGTGGGTGAGACCAGAAACTTAGCTCTGTGGTGAGACTGAGATAGTGTGAAACACTCATAAAGATATTTTCAGAAAATATTTAATTATTATTTTTTACCAGGGGAACAGATATGTTTCACTCATAATCAACGAGAGGTCAACAGCTTTTATGAATAATTTTTATTTTTGGAGAGTTCTCCACGTTCTGAGTGTCTTTATAGAAGCATACAGTTTTAACCAGTTATATAGGTTTATTTCTATATACTCTTCGCAAAAAAAAAAGAAACCGCATGTTTCGTTTTAGCATTAGTAAGGCTATTTAATTGTTCATAATAGTCTAAAATTTAAACTACGTGGTTGTTTTTTGCACGATTTGCCCGTGCACTGTCCAGATAAATGTTAGAATTGTTTCGATTACATCCAAAACTTGCAGTGCGGTGACTTCCTTTAACATCAACGTGTAGAAACATTTATGATCCTTAGACTAGAAGAGATGATTCGTCGATTTGTCGCAAAAGAATGTATCTTCGTTTAAAAGATTTTTGTTCGTCTTCGAACTGGCAGGCCTGGCGTTACTGACGTCATTTAGAAATGACGCGTACAACACGACGTTCCCAAACCATTACTGCTACAGCGAAACAGTGCGGTGAAAGGCAGGAAAATTATTTGAAGCAAAAATCAAAATCAAAAGACCTAAAAAGGCATAGCTTTATTAATAGTTAACAATCATTAATAAGAGTTGCGAATTTTTCATTTGGACCCCTACCACGTACACACGACTCTAAAGAGACTGCTTTTATGAAAATTGAATTATTACGTCATTTGTTGGCAATTAAATAAGCTATGGTATCAAACATAAAGAACCTTGGATAAGTGCATGCTAATTTTCAATGTGAAGGAGATCTGAAATTGATCAAAATCTAATGTTACACCGGCACATCCATGCCACCTGAGCATGGTCTTCATGCACTGACTTTACAGTCAGTATATAAATGTTTAATTTCCATTAACTAATAACATAAATGAGCCGCGTCACGACAAAACCAACATAATGGGTTTGCGACCAGCATGGATTCAGACCAGCCTGCGCATCTGCGCAGTCTGATCAGGATCCATGCTGTTCGCTTACAAACCCTATTACAAGTAGAGAAACTGATAGCGAACAGCATATGGATCCTGATCAGCGCAGACTGGTCTGGATCCATGCTGGTCGCAAACTCATTATGTTGGTTTTGTCATGACGCGGCTCAAACGTCATGATTTTCTAATTACAAGAAATATCTCTGAAGAAAATGGATGTTCTCCAAACCTGCACATTTGTCGTCAATGGCTTCCAATTGACATCGGTTTATAAATAAAGGCTGTATAAGCAAAAGATAAAATGGTGCTTCCCGAAGTTGCTCAGTTGCCATTATGTACTTTAATGCACTTCATTCAATAAATAAAGGTAGTTTAAACGAGCGTAAAATCCATTTCCTGCACTCAGTGATCCGTTTCTTTACGAAATGTTGATGGACAACCCATGATATCTACCTAGCAAATATGAAAGACGTCAGTCAACAAATAAACAATGCATGAAATTCATTTATATCGGGTCTGTAAACCTTGCTTATGACCCAACTTCAAATGACCGCTTCTTCCACCCATGGTAGTTATCACTCTGGCCAAAGCTTTCAGACGTGGTGGGTCCATTCAATTGAAAAGTGCGTTACGTCAAGTTAAACATAAATGGTATCGGCCCCCGCACTGCATTGCAATCGAATCCACCGCCGTCTAGGTTGAAAAACATATTTTTTTGTCATTTATTGTATAAACGGGCAATAATAATTTCCCGAATTTCCAAAATATGGGTACATTGTGTATTTTGTGAAAGTACCATTCATACGATATGTGATGCTGTTGTGTTGTGGGGTCGTTTTGCACATATTTGTGCGTGTTTTAACCAAAATTATGGAATAGTGGCTTCCTCTCTCAAACTGCAAAGAAATGTTTGCATAAACGGCAATGAATATTGCACTGAGTGCTGTAATATGTTGAAAGAGTACATATGTGGGCTCCAGTCGCACTAAGTGTTTTCAGTAAAACATAAAACAGAATTCAGTCATATACTTACCGGCCATATTTTATCCACCGTTTCTGCGACGAATAATCCACCGCCGCTACGATGGACTCGCCGCTTCTGTGAAAGCTATGGCCAGTGTGAGTTATAGGACCCCAATTTACGTTTCTTACCTTAGGTGCATCATTCATAACACTTGTATAGAGTTCTATTAGGCGGCAATGCCATGAATGCTGTATGCCAAAAATAGAGGCATAGATTTATCCACACAGACCTTGTCCTAGCCAGATTGGGAAATTTTGCATCCTAAAATTTGCTTAATTGGGAAAAATAATTTAGTACCTTTTGAAACCTCATTCATGCTCTTTTGGCATAGTATTTTGGATTGTACAAAATTGTTTTTTTTCAACCAATGCAAATATCATTCAAAGCAAAATACAATGTACACGTACTGTACATTAAAATTTGACAATGAAATGTGTGGAAACATCCGTCTTATACCATTCGAAATGAACTCCAGGGATTTGTCAGGTTTGATATCGAAAATTTCTGTTCGATTATGATGTTTTTTAAAGATTGGAAAAAATAAGCATATATCCATAGAAATGGGTCTGGTTATCTGATGCGTGGTGACACTGATGCGTTTTCGCACACCTTTGTCTACATAAAACAACGAAGTGATTCCCATTTTTAACCCTAGGGTTATGATTAATATAACTTTAGTAGAATCTACAAATTAATGTTTCATGCCAAATGCTTAAATGTGTTTTTTCTATATGGGCATATATATATAAATCAAGTGATACTGTCCAGAGCGGGCCAATATTGACCCAAAGGGACACATTAATAGCATTAATGTTGTAGTCCACAAAATATCTAAATATCTTACATGCCAAATATCTAAGCTCTGGCGAAGTCTCAGACATGTTAAATGTGTTTTCCTATATAAGTCTATATAATTCAAGTAATCTCCGGGTTCTCAGAAAGCCACAACCTGTGTTCTGCATATCGTTTTATTATTAGTAATATTTCTGCCAAAAAGTTTTAATTTCTTTCTATTGGTTCAAAGACCGATTCAAATATCAAGTAAGGTAGCATTAAAGATGTCGCACAATGTATTTTCTCTCTCTATGTGATGTGTTAATCAAAATTCGTTGAAATAGTTTCAAGTTTTTCCCTGCCAATTATTATTTAGTATAAGGGGAGATAATGCACAGATCCCTGGCCTGTCCAATTCTAATTATCAGATACAATAAGAATTTTACTTATACTTATATGTACATTTGTTTTTGTGTTATTCATATCTCACATGTATTATATAGTTGCAGTAAAATATTATTAAACTAGAACTATTACTAAATGTGATTAATACCCGTGCAAGACTGCTTCTGACTAGTAACAGAATACGTTGCAAAAGAATTGAAATAGAGTTATGGTTGTGGGTAATTAAAGATAGTTGCGGTTATTGTATGTTGCATTTCCTTTCAATGATGTTGACCATTGATGATTGAAGTTTTATTGAATTACTCTGTAATAAGTCCAGAAAGAGTTACGCTTCTTGAGCACTGCACTTCCTCTCATTGCGCTTGACCATTGCATGAAGTTGCATTGAATTCTTAAGTTATGCACCGGACAAGGAAAGGCAATAACTCTACAAATACTGAAGATGGAGTTATGGTTTTGTGCACTGCACTTCCTCTCATTGCGCTTGACCATTGTATGAAGTTGTATTGAATTCCAACAACTAGTTTTCAAGTTATGAACTGGACAAAAAAAGTAACAAAGGGCAATAACTATAATTTGTCCAAATAGAGTTATGGTTCTTGTGCACTGCACTTCATCTCACTGCCCTTGACCATTGTATGAATTTTCATTGAATTCCAACCATTTATTTTAAATTAAAATTATGCTGGACAATAAAAAGTTACAAGGGGAAAAACTCTTAAATGAGTCAAGAAAGAGTTATGGTTTCTATGCACTGTGC